ACTACGATCTTTCGGCTGAAATAACTGAAACGCGTTGCACACAGCCTATCAAGATTGCCTTAATTCAGTAAACTTTATGAATGGCTAAACCATACTTGGCAGATATCCTTTTCGTGAGCACGAAGCGTGCATGCTCTATCGATCATGGCGCGTAACACTCCAGTTCTCGCTGATACTACATTAATGCGAAATGATAAGAACGAGTAAGCCAGGTGGGTGATCATTACATACCAATGATCTTATTCCACGAGCTCTCCAGCTCCTCAAGAGCACCTTTCAACTGCGTGGGATTTAACCTTTCTGTAGCTTTAGCTACCACGAAGTTAGCTACAGGATGTATAGCCAGCCTCGCAAGCTTCCCCTGAAAGTAAGTCGCCCAAAGTATCGTAAACGCGGGATCAGGACAACGGGAAACCATCGTCTCCAGCAAGTGAGAGGAGGTTGGGTCTCGAAGAAGCGTGACAAGGTAGTCAGATGCCTCCAGTTGTTCATCAGGCTTTCTGTCTGGCACCGTTCAATACGTGATCGAGATACCCCAGACAGCGTGTCAGGGAACTCACGACAAAGTGTAATAATCCCGACCAGGACGTGATCCATAAGAGAACCAGGCAATGAAGATTCACCATGATCGGCTTCAACCTCAAGGATAAGCTGCGAAGTTGATCAGTTTGCATCTGGTTGAATGTTGGATGACATGTACCTGAAGTAATGGGCTGGCTACTTTATTGGCAGCCAATGCTCGGACCTCGTTGTCGCTGAGTTCGCTCTTTAAGACGCGCACAAACCTGGTAGCAGCCTCGCGAAATTCGTTCGGCACCGATCGAGTAGAATCAATACGATCGTAGCTCTTATTGTCAGCGAATACAGATTTCATGGTACCCTGACGAGCTTTCCACGCGCTGCTTTTCTTCGACCGCATGTTCGACTGTGCTTTATGACTTGCAGCAGATTTTGTAGGCGATAGCAAGAGGAGCAGAGCACGGAGAACATGCGAGGCAAAAGGGTCCATTACAAGGGACGTGAAGACCGGTGCGAGTTCCTGTTGTACAGTTTATTGCGGCGCAGGATTTCTAAGAAGCTGTGACCAACCTCACATATATCCAAGATGAGGCGTGTCAGAGTGCGCAGTTCACCCTTGTCCTTGGAATCGGGGACAGATGGATATATGCCCTTAGTCTTGCAACCAATCAGGGGGATACTGAAGGATCGGTAATAGGTATGCTTACTTCGCGCGAGACGGTGTCTGCTGCTACTGTGAACAGTGTTTGACAGACATGCGAAGCAAAACGATGTTTGATGAGCGCCTCGTATCTACAAATTACTTGACATCTGGATAGGCAAACTACGAAGAACTGCTCCCACTCACGAGCCGCTCAAACTATCCAAAAACACCCTTCGAACAAAGTCATCCATCGAGTGCGCCATGCGTTCTAGAACAACAGAACAATCCGGGTCCGTAGCCAGTTGTTTCTCTTTTTCAGACATTTCACTAAGTGCGGCAACGAGGAATATCCGCTTTGCTAGATGCAAGCACTGTCAAACACTTTCTGCATCGCAGCTGCTATTCCAAACCTTCATTCGGATCGAGGTCTGCGGCTTGATCCTCCTCGTAAGGTCTCTCCTGCTGCCAAGTTCGAATTTGGTCGTCGACGGTTCTGAAATATGCCTTTATGTCAGGGTCTACATAACCAAATGGTGCCTCCGGATGGGGCTCCTCCAATTCTTGTGCAGGGACTATCCATGACGGCCGATTGTGATGTTCGGCATTTTGAGGTGCTTCATTGGTGTCGCGAGAGGGCTGGTTATGCTCCTGTGTTTTCTTATGCTTCTTGCCTCGTTTCCTGTTTTCGTTCGGCATGTTGACCAGAAAGCTTAGAGAACAAATCAGAAAATAAGCATGGGAAGGACCCCGGGATTTGAGAATATGTGCCAAATTTGGACTTGAGTCACTTGACCCCTGGCAGCAGGTCACATTAATGATCCACCACGCTCACTCAGGCTGGTGACAAGACCTTATAACACATGGCACCAACATCATGCTCGCTATGCCGTGACGCAAAGGCAATTTTAAAACGCCCTAAAACAGGGCAGCAGATTTGCAAGGATTGCTTCTTCTTCGTCTTTGAGACAGAAGTCCATCATACAATCACAGAATCAGAGCTGTTTAAGCCAGGCGATCGAGTCGCAATCGGTGCTTCTGGCGGGAAAGGTAAGACTATTATTCAAACTTATCTGGCATCTTATTATTCTTGTGGCAGACTCCACCGTCCTCGCGTATGTCATGAAGACCTTGAACGAGCGGTACAACTACGGCCTCGACTTATTTCTCTTGTCTATCGATGAAGGGATCACAGGTTATAGAGATGACTCCTTAGAAGTGCGCTATTAAGTGTGCTGTATCGGAGTATCTTGCATATTGATTAAACCTCATGCAGACAGTTAAAAGGAATCAACAGCAATATGATATGCCCCTAAAAATACTCTCATATGATGAACTCTATGGCTGGACTATGGATGCCATAGTTGAACAAATAGGAAAGAAAAACAACTGCACATTTTGCGGTGTCTTTCGCAGACAGGCGCTTGACAGGGGTGCAGCTAGTTTGAACGTTGATCATATCGTCACTGGGCACAACGCAGATGACATTGCGGAGACTGTCCTCATGAATAGTGGGTCAACCTTAATGTCTACGGCATTGCACTGACAATTTTATAGTAATGCGTGGCGATATTGCTCGACTTGGACGGTGTACTTTAATTTGTACCCAGGGGGAGGATACAATCAAACGATCCAAGCCCTTCAAGTACGCTTATGAGAAGGAAATTGTCATGTGAGTACTGTGACATGGGTAGTTTTGTTCTGACTGAGTTGGTTTTGTAGGTACGCTTACTTCAAAAAACTGGATTATTTTTCAACAGAGTGTATATATTCGCCCGACGCCTATCGAGGACATGCACGGACGTTTTTGAAAGATTTAGAGGCTGCTAGACCCAGTGCTATCATAGATATAATTCACTCTGGCGAAGCATTTGAAGTTAAGGAAGAAATAAAGGCAGCCCAAAAGGCCCAGCGTCAGTGATGTCATTTTCACATAGTTATAATACTGATTTGTCTGCAGAAACATGCAAAAGATGTGGGTACATGTCTAGTAATGATCTTTGCAAGGCATGTACGCTGCTGGAGGGTTTGGAGAGAGGCATGGCGAGCTCTGTCATAGTGAGTTCAGGCTATGCATTGGTTAAAATGACTGGGCACTTATTCTTGTCTAGACTGACCGTGCCCGTAAGAAGATGGACGCTATAGGTCCTGCACCGGATAACATAAGAACAATTCCATTATTTCGTTCAACACCAACAATTGCAGTAGAGCTGCCGTCACAATCTTGAGTGGGCAGCAGTTGCATATTTATTCCCCCGATGAATACTATCATTAATAATAATTCGCTCAATCATATATAGGGGTATAATTATTGTCCAAATGTATCTGGTGGGCTCGTTAATGTACTGGACGTCCCTCCGCTTCACAAAATGCAGTGAAAAGCCGATCGCAATGTTCCAAGAGGTCATCACACTGGTTGTTGTGCTCTTTGGAACGCGTCAACTTCATCGTACCAACACGCTCTTTACCCCATCTGTCACATTCTGAGACATAACGGAAGCCCACTTCAACCGTAGCTGTAGGGTTTGAATCGTCAAACTCTGTCAAGCTAACTGTAGGAAGGCAAGCCAGCGGCACTAAGCAGAGATGTACTGCAGAGATGGCTGCCTTGAATCCAGTTATGAGATGGTACGGAGATCCAAGAAAACGAGCCTAAGATGTTTAGAATTATTAGAAATGGATTAGCTACAGCAGCGCATAACTCACGAGATAGAAAGCAAAGAACATGCACAATGATGAGAAAGTATCCAAAAGAGCGCTGGCGATGTTTGTGCCAGCCACACCAGGTAGTACTATCATGTGTCGCGTGGGTAACGTGTCAGAGTCTTGGAGTGACACCTGATCTAGTCGATGGGCGATCAAGTCCATCTGGAATTTTGAGCTTTCGTATGAATGCGCGGTTTTGACCAACTGCCAGTCTGTAGGATCGTAATAGATTGGGTTTGATTCATGAGATGACATCCAAATCACGCGGGCACCAGTAGACGTTTGGTATTTTGCTAGGTGGGATTTCAAGGATCGAAACTGGAGCAAATCAATATATAAGATGAATTCGGGGTAAACTACACATACCAGGACATAGTGTCCGAAGACGTTGCACTGCCATACCCACCCTAACCCGTCTTGACTGAGTTGTCCAACTTCTTGCGTGTAGAATATAGGAGCTGTCACGGCCTCAACCCAGTTCATGGTGAATTGCTTGAGAGCTAAAAGCCAATTGATGCTGACGAAAGAAGCGACTCCTGCATTACAAATGAGATGCGATACATATGGGTACCTAAAGTGCCGTCAACTATTTGCACGTCGCCTACATTGAATACTCACGTTTTGATAACTTCGTCAGCGAATCTGCATACCGTTTGAATGCGCGACAAGTCTACGGTATGGACCACAATGGTTAAGTGTTTTCTGAAGGTCTCGGCATGTCCATCGTATCCTGGAAGTATTTCCTGGTGACGAACTTGTTCGTCGGAAAACTGGTACAATTGGTCGCGAGCAGCCTCTCCTCGTTGTCTACTGCGACAAGCAAGAATTAGGGTCAACCCATCCAAGGAGGCGTCGCTGGTTGTCGTTTTTTGGACGTGGAAATTGTAATGAGGTTGGGCGTCTGTTGGGGATTTGGATATTAGTTGAACAAGCAGACGCTGGCAAATTCCCAAACCAACGCCGCTGCGTGTATTTCAGTAGTGACCAAGTTATGAACGACTTGGTTCGCCGCACCTGTTTGCGCCTGTCACGATGATAACTGGCCACGACATGACATCCGGAGAAAGACGTGCGTGAGACGTTCCTAGTGCGATTATAATTACCGGTGACCTAGAATCATAGTCGTTACACCAGATGACAGCGAGAATATCATTCCAATGAAATTCAAAATATTGTATTTAAGGCGAAGGCTAGAAATAAAATCCGACTACAACTCTCATGTCACTCTGACAGACTACACCTCCGTCTTCTTTTTCTTCTTCTTTGGCGGGTCACTGTCCACTTGAGAAGCTGCCGCAGCAGCCTTTTCAGCCTTGCGTGCCTTCTTTCTGGCTTTGCGTTCCGCTTCCGTTTCTCCATCCTCCTGCAGTTCATTGGTATTGGTCGAGTTGCAGAGATGAAAACATAAATTTGCTTACCTTAGGAGCTTCGGAACCGTTGACCTCGCTTTCTCTTCTCTTCCGTTTCTTGTCCTTGGGTTCCTCCTCCTCGACGTCCATTTGGTCATCATCTGACTCCTCCTTCGCCTTCTTGTCGGCTTTCTTTTTCCCACGTTTCTCCTCTTTCGCCTTCCTCTTCTCCTCCTTCACGTCGAGAACAGCTTTCACTGCCAGCTCCAGAGGGTCGCGTTGTGCTGGAACCAAGTCCACAGCATCCGCATCCGTATTGTATGTCTTGGTCTGACCCTTCATCTCAAAGCGTTGCGGTTGTTGATTTTTGTCTGCAAATCTTCGCACACCAGACAAATCGTTTTGATGTTCCAAGGCACGTAGGCGAGACTCCAATTTTGCGCGGTTTTCAAGCCCTATTGAAGGAGCAGTCTCTTCTGATTTTCCATCAGCGTCCGTCAATGCGTCGACACGGATTGAAAGTGCGGCTTTTGTGGCAACCATACGGGCCATCTCAATGGCAATATGTCAGCCTGACGAATTCTTTGTGGTTTTCGAAGTAGTGAATTACCTTGCCCTTTAGTTTTGGGGGTGCTTGGCCAATGAGGGAGGCCTATGCAATGTAAGCGAGTTAGACAGACGAGAACAATCAGTAGCCCACATGATAGATGAGTCCGTATTTTGGGGTATCGTGCTTGGTCTTGAGGGCACGGAAAAGTGCTTTTTCTGCACCGAGAATTTGTACCGTACTGGCTGGGTGCTTCGCTAGGCTCAATAAACTTCCAGCATGTGATATAAGTCGTGCTCCAACAAGGTCGCCGACTAGTGCGGTAAGATTTGGTGCCACTGCGTTCATGCGATTCCGTAAGTACTCTGCAAGTTGCGCACGATATGCAGTTATGGATATGACTTGGTCACATAGTGCATGTATATGCTGTATATCGGTGTCAGATATCTCGGTTCCCATGGATATTTCAGCAGCGGCTTTTAAAACGGCTTCGAGATCTTCTGGCAGTATGGTTTCAAACGCTGTCGTAGCAGCATTCGTGCGGAAACCTGGATCAAACAATATCAACCAAACGGTGGGTTGAGGAAGTATGCTAAACTTACCCATTGTCCGTACAACCTTAGCATAGGCAAGGTTATCAACGATAATCTTCCCCATTTCGGGAAAATGCCATCCATACCACTCCTAGACGCCAAATGAGACTTCGATTATTGAAATTCGATGAACTCTCCTACTTTGACTCGCATGGAATATATATTGATCTCTTTATCAAGATCATCCAGTAGTGCAATAGCTTGCACAATCATTGTGTCGACTTTATTGGGAGAGAACTTGAGTTTAAATCTGCCGAAATATGTTGCAAACACTGCTTTCACAATTTGACTCCATAAACTCACCGTGAGAGTGAATGGCTAAGACCTAAGCTCATGGTAGCAAGATCTTTTGGGTCAAGGCCGTCAAGCAATGAGGCGATTTGACTTCGAATACCCCTCCACAAGTCACTATGATCTTCTGGTGGTGAAGGAGAAGTGACTTGAATGCTCAATTTTTTTGAGATGGAATGGGCTTGTCAGAAGTGTAAGACGACATGCATGATACTGACACAGATAACGCAACACACCAAGTTTTGGGTCGACCACTACCAAGGTTTCCTTCCGTTTTGCTTTCTCCACCACCTGTTCAGTTAAGAATTTCTTCAGACCCTTCCCCAGTTTACCTTCCTGCACGGCAGTAAGATCTTCTACTGCGTTTGCAGTAGACGTAAAACGGTGAAGTGCTTTTAGCTTCAACCTTGTCCATCAAACAGGTTGAGTTGTGTCCAGTACACGAACATCTTGAACGTACAATTTTGTCGCCTTCTCTGGCGTTTCGAAACTTTTATACAGATCTGCTGACTCGAGCTTGGCCGAGTCAGACAGTTTGAACAGGCAATAGCCCATCGCTGTCTCGTACAACACCAGCATTTTGAAAGAGTGCGATAACCAGAACCAATCGCAAATCTTTGCTGCAGAGCTCAATAAGAAAAACTGAAGTGTATAATTACACTAACTGGCATTTGCCGGACTGCATGGGGAAATCTGTGACGACAGTGTCACATTGTGTCACGTCAATTTTATATTTGGCCATCTACGCTCACATAAGCTCAAAGTCAGGCAAATGTCCATGTCAGATGCTTCAAGTTGACATGTGCAACTTCCCTCCCCGTCGGAGTAGTCTCGGTTCCAGATATCTACATAAATACCGTCCGAAACCGAGACTACTTCGCTACGTTCAAGACATCAATTAGACATGCTTATCAGGCCAGTGGTTCTACTTGCACTAGCTCTGGGCATTGGTGCTCACAAGCAGACAACTTTCACGGATGATAAGCTCCGTCATGATAACGAATCAGCTCCCAACGCTCTTCCAATCGTACCAGAAAGCCTCGCTTCTCTTACATCTGTCGACTCTTTCACAACTTTGTCTCATGCCCGCTTCCCTCACCACGCCGTTCGCATCAAAAAGTCAGACTTTTGCGACCCCACCGTTTCGTGAGTGCTTTTATTTGAACGAGATATGAGTGGAAGAGATTCATACAAATGTTTGTTCAGTGCGTACACTGGCTATCTTGATGTCGATCAAGGAGCAAAGCACTTGTTCTTCTACTTCTTTGAAAGCCGCAGGAACCCAGAAACTGGTGCATAGTTTATTGTTTTGGCGTCCTGCATATTATATTAATGGCATTCTCTAGATGATGTGATGATGTGGATTAATGGAGGTGTGATGTGTCGTGTCGCTGGGTCTTTTCTCCTCATTACAACTCTACAGGTCCTGGGTGTTCTTCCTCGCTTGGCTTGTTATTTGAACACGGTGCGGGCATCACTCTATATGATGTGATACATCTAAACAGTTTGAATGCTAGGGCCATGTAGCATCGACGTTGACGGTTCATCTCTAAATGGTACCAACTGGAACCCGTACTCATGGAATAAGGAAGCCAATATTTTCTTCCTGGACCAACCGTAAGTCCATATGTTGGATTACTCACGTTTGTTTTTGAAATTGTGAACGTAGAGTTGGGGTAGGCTACTCATACGCCGACTTTGGTGAAACAGTTGAGACGACGGAGGATGCTGCTCAGAATGTGCATGCATTCATCACAATTTTCTTTGAGGTTTTCAAACAATTTGAGGGTAGACCATTGCACCTTGCTGGTGAATCATACGGCGTAAGTAACATATTCACGATCTTGTATGATTCTGATAATGGTCGGTTCAAGGGGCGGTATCTTCCTGTTTTCGCCAGCGAAATTTATGATCAGAATGAAATTGCGAAGGCAGAGGGACGACCAACCATCAATCTTCATAGCATCGTGATCGGGAACGGTATCACTGATATCTCAACGTGAGCGAATGACTTTACTGTAGTTTCAAAGTTTCTCACGAATCCTAGTTTATACCAAGGGCGTTACGAGATTGAATGCGGCATTGCTGCTCTAGAAATACCATTTCAACAAATTAGCTCTTGTGTGCGCATGAAGTCGGCGGTGGGCATTTATCCTAATTCGTTGTCCCTCAGTCTTCCGATGACGCATCTCATAGCTACCTCGGTGTCAAGCTTTGATGCGTGATGGGTGCATCGACCAATTTGATCACATGAATTGCGGTGCTGCTGTTGCCTTTTGCGACGCGCAACTTAGTACTGCAATGTGGGCAAGCGGTCAGTTGAATCAGGATTCGCTACAGATCGCCGCTAAATTATTTTTGCATGTAAGGTCGGAATGTGTACGATGTCTCAATGGTTGGTTGTTTCTTGAAGTAGTTTGACGTAGCTTGCTTACTTCGCTTATTTCAAGACCTGTGAAGACCAAGAACTGTGCTACGCAGAAGAGGCCGTTATCCGAGATTTCCTTGATGCGCCAGAAACGCGGAAAATACTTGGTGCTGAAAGCCCCGGTAAATTTTCTCTCTGCTCTGGTATTGTCGGGCGGAACTTTGTCTCTCACCTCGATAAGTGGGCACATCACACTCAAGACTACGTTGCGGCCCTCTTGGAGAGGAACATCAGAGTGTTGATTTATGCCGGTACTTATGACTGGCAGTGCAATTGGATTGCAAACAAGCTGTGGGTAGATAAATTAGATTGGACGGGACGTTCTGCATACGTGAAAGAGAGCTGGAGGTCTTGGTACGTTAATGGAGAAAAAGCGGGTGAAACTAAGAATGTTGGCCCTCTGACATTTGCTACGGTGCTGGGTGCCGGCCATATGATGAGTCCTTCGTTACTCGGGCTCCACCATTCTGCTGACCCCTTTATACGTCCCTCATGACAAACCTGCGGAAGTACAGGATCTAGTTTCTAGATGGCTCGCCAATCAGGCCATCTAAGTGTCAAAGAGCCGACACAGCCACTCAGCGCAATAGCTGAGCATCGCTATTTTAGTATCGAGAGATCAAGCCGATGTTCTTGTGTGGCTGCATTGAATCTAATTTGAAATTTGATGTGTTTTTTTTTTTCGATCATGTCGACGGCGACGGGTAACCAATTGAGATTGATAGCAACCAACGCTGCGCAGCCAAAAACAGGATCTTTGCCTGCAACAACAGCGCCTTGTAAACACAGCCAATCACCTGTGCTTGAGATAAATCTTAAAAACCTCATTCATCGTGATGGTGCATCGGTGTTGTCCACTACTTCTGCAACCTCCGTTCATTGTTTGTGTGCTTTCCCTGGAGGTATGTCTGCCGCATGGATTCGAATGCACATAACTCACGCATTGTTGCGCTATCCAGGATCCCCTATTCTATCTTAACTTGGGTTGCACAGGTGCACCTGACTATTTCCCTCATATCTTTTCTTGCGCCTCTTCGTATAACTTCCATTCAGTTTCGAGCTATGGTTTTCACTTCAGTATACTCGCTCTGCGGCGCTGGCTTCGCCCTACTTCAGTTGCTGGCTCCAGTCGCAGCACGTCCAGTAGCACGGTCTACAAGCTCTTCCACATTACTAGCTCTTCGTGAGTGTTTTTATATTATTTCAGATCAAGCGCTCATGATAGAGCAGAGTTCGCCAACGTGTTGGAGCAGCTTGAGTCCACTTTTTATGCGCAGGCCCTTCAAAAGTTCAATCAGTCAGATTTCACGGCAGCAGGCTTTGCTTCGGCCCAGATTCCCTTGCAACAGTTTCAGGCTATCTTCAAAGATGAGTCCACACACACAACTACATTACAGGTGTGTCAAATCATATGTAACATCTTTGAATATGACGTTAACACCCACTCAGTCGGCTATTAATTCGTTGGGCGGCAAAACAGTGTCAAACTGTACATTCAACGTTGCTTCCTTGCTCACAGACGTACCCACTATGGTGGCGGCAGCGAGACTCGTGGAAAATGTTGGTGTGAGCGCCTACCTTGGTGCCCTAACCTTGATCAACGACACGGTCCTCTCCACCGCAGCTGCCACCATTATGACGGTTGAAGCGCGTCACCAAACCATTCTCAATGTGCTGGCAGGGGCCACCGCGATACCTCAGGCATTTGATGTCGCTCTGAATCCATCTGAGATTCTTGCATTGACAGGGGGGTTAATTTCTGGATGCAATCTTGGAATCCCAGGTACGTACCTAGTGTAAATGGTTGTGCTCTCGTTTACCTTGAAACATCCTCATTTAGCGAATGTTCCGCTCCGCGTGAATAATTCCGGTTCCATTCAAGCAGGAACAAAGTTGACCTTTACCTCTGCTGCATTCAACGGAACTATTCCGGTAGAGGTCTGTTGTCTACATTTCTTGGTTTGTCGCGCAACAACTTACGCGTTATCTACGCCAGAAACTGTCCTGTCAATTCCTCGCCGGCGGCTTCCCTGTTGCCATCTCACAACCACTATCTAATTGCAGCGTCCCGGCGAACGTAACTGGTCCTCTGTTGGTGTTCGTGACCAACAGTAGTCAGCCCCTCGCGAATAACATTCGCGATGCTGCGACTAGCACCATCGTTGCAGGTCCGACGCTCATCTTCATCGACAATCAACAGGATGCGCTGGCGATCGCAGCACGTCCTGGTCTCAACTCCACTGTGGCCCATCCTATAACGTCTTCCACGACAATCACTTTGACTCCAGTCACTTCGAGCAGAGCTATGAGTAGCACCGTCACTTCAACCGTGAAGTCTACTTTGACTCCAGCCACTTCGAGCAGAGCTATGAGTAGCACCGTCACTTTAACCATGGCGTCTACTTCAGCCACTCCGAGCAGAGCTATAAGTGTCACTTCAACCGTGACGATAGTTCCCACCACAGTCAGCACTGATTGGACGGCTGTAACCAAAACGATCTCGCCATCTGAAGCTAGTGGTATTCTCGCGAGTGCTGTGCCATCTATGAGTTCGGGATAAATGTCGAGAATTAATACGAGATGCTGGATCAAATTATATTGCACAGATATCTAAAGTAATCAGAACTGAACTGACGACTTCAAGGACTATTGATAGGGGGAGGACGATATCCATAGAGTATAAGTTGTACAACGATAGAACGTAGTGCAAGGAATGGACTTAATCTTCATCACTATCCTCGCTGGATGATGTATCATCCTCATCCGCACTGAGTTGACCGCCTGCGAATTGATTGAGTGACATGGGCCGTCCAGAGACATTTGCCACTGGTTCAAGATCTGGAGACATTGCTGCCGCCAATATATCATCATCCGATTCTTCCTCCAGTTCTGCTTCCATCTCCCGCCCGAAGGCGTCAAGATCTATCTCTTCCTCTACTGGATCATTGTGGGTGACTTCATCCCAGTCTTCTTCAGAGTCCGATTCTGCTGCTGCCGGCTTTGTGGGAAGAGCAGGAGGCACGAAAGAGGGTGTTGTCCCTGGCAAGGCTAGTCCGATTGAGACAGACGGCTTCGGACGTTTTGAAGGGCGAGCGGGGCGACCAAAATCAAGAACCTCTTCCAAGTCGGAATCTTCTTTATACGTATTGATTTCTCTTTTCGCCTTCGGCACTTCCTTGGGTTTGGGTTTAGGCTTCGGCTCGGACTCGTGCTTTTTTGGAGGTGGAGCGACATGACGGGACACTTTAGGTTTTGGAGGTGGCGGAGGTGGCGTAGGGGCTTTGCGAGGGGGTATTTCAATCTCCTCACCCTCCTCTTCCTCTTCCTCCTCCTTTTGCCCCGTGACCTTCGCCAAAATGTCATCGAAGTCATCCACGGCCTCACCATCAGCGTCTGAGAGCCCTAAAAGATCATGTTCCAGCTCTTTCTCCAAATTTCTTGTGTCTTTGAGCTGTGTTTCGGGAGGAGTTGTTGCAGAGGCTGGAAGTCACCGAGCATAAATGACGATACCCCATCAAGCACCAGGTAGACAACATACGAGACTTTCGGGCAAAGCTGGAGCTGGAAGAAGAGACTTTCTTGTCGTATGTAAAGCCCATGAAGCACTCTACCTTTTCAAGAGTGAATGTCTGAAGTAGTGTTACAAGCTGGATCCAACAAAATACAAGAGAACGGTTACTCACTCCTAATTCCTCATCATAAATTAGGACACAATCATACTCCTTCACCGGCTGTTCACCCCCCTTAAAAAGATGGTTCTCGCCCGGCTAAAAAGTCATCAAAGGAGGTTCCGAAAGCTTAACATAGCATATGAACTGTACCTGTGTACTAGGGCGTTCTAAAGTGACGCTGGTAGAATCTTTCCCGCGTTTGACTTCAACCGTTCCAGACCTGCTGGGCTCTATTGACTCTGGCTTGAAATTATCTGCCTCGTGTCTTTCAGCACGCTCGTAAACTGACAGTAAGAGGCTTCGTACACCTGAAGGAGTAGAAATCCTTGTCGGGGAGATTGGAACGCTTCGGTGGAGCTACGCCCTTGCGGGCTTTGAGCGCGCGCCTCAGTGAAGTTCCTATTGCTACTGTGTGTCGGCCCGTTGTGGGCATCCATTGGGTATCTGTAGTCGCCATCGCGAGTCAAGGTTTGACTAGGAGGCAAACGGAAAGACTGTCGCTTAGATTTGTATGAATGCCGCACTCGAAGCAGCGCTGAAGTAAGCTTGGCAGTGTTCATTGTTTCCAACTGTCCTTGTTGTTTCCCGCGTTGTGGACAACACACGGTTCGATTCAGGTGGACCCTTTAAACTAAGTTTTTACACTGCCAGTAATACAACACACTGCCCGATCACGATCAAATGTCTTAACTTGATCGCGAGCCCAGATATTACTACTTAACGACGGGCTTCGTTGATATCGTCATGTTGGTTGAAACGCTCGAGAAAGCCTGGGTGCCCTCTAGCTTGTCTATCCTTCATGGATCTTTTACCCGACGGTACGACAAGGGACACGGAGGAACAAGGATGGCCAGAATGAGTAGTGGAACAAGATTTGGGGGTATCAAGGGACTCGGCGAAATTCAGGTAAGTGAGACTCGAGGACCGCTGTATAGTTACACTGAGCGCTGGCATTATAGTAACTTTTGAATGACCTTCAAGTCAATAAATTAATACGCAGTCAACGTGGTTAGCACCTTTCCGGACTCGCTGTAATCTCGTCGGTGTTGCAACGCTGTACATCCAGTTATGCACATAATTTTTCATACTCAATAGGCCTAGGGTCGTTTATCTCGCCAAGAGGACGCCATAAATTCACGCCGTTTCTGAGGTATTGATCATAAGTTTCATCTATGCAATACCAGTCATTGCTAACTTCAAGTTAGTCGATGCGCCCGTGCACCGCTTTGACCTCAGGCACTATCATGATCAGCTGAGGCCAACCAAGTGAAGGCCGTGGAATAGACCCATCAGTATCTTGTTGGAGGCTGAGGCCATTATGAATTCATCATTAAATGCCACGATGAATCCCCGTGCATCCAGCAAAAGCTGTGTACGACGCAAAATGCACCTCGTGTTTCTCTTTGTGGGTGCCATTAATCTCACTGTACCAGGATGATTTACTTATTGCCGATTCTTTCGATAGGCCTAGAATTTGTACACGTATGATATAACTTCGATATGCCAATAATAGTAACGATGGAAGACCATGATGGCACGCGGTGCGAACTTCCTAAGCTAGGAGTGTTCCGTTTTCCTTCCAGCACTAGTATCGTGAGGCTGTGTTGACACGTATGCCCCTTGTATACCCACTTACATAGCTGCACAGAAGCTACACAGTCTGAATCACATAATAGATCTAGATCTATGCCACCTGCTGGTCTCGTGTTCTTTCGTGGCTGCGCGATATATAGCACGGCGCAAACATTGCTTTGCCTGGAATGGGCTTGAGCCTCAGTCAACATTAATGTCTTCCTCAACGCAGGACCTCATCCCACAACTTCACCTTGGGAACACGTTTGGGGCACTGTTTATTGGGGTCACCCTTGCAGCAATGTTAGTAACCTATTTGCGCACGAAGCTTAATTGAGTCCTGTCGTCCTAACATGTCTCACGGAACAGTCTCTTTGGTCTAAGTAACATTCAAGCTTTCGTCTACTTTCAGTCGCACAAGGGCACAGGGATATCGTTCCATAAACTAGCCGTGCGTTGATGATTCCTCCTCTCAGTTCAGTTGTTGATGCTGCATTAGGTTGCCTGGCTTTGGTATGTACTCTTCAGTTGCCATTGTCGAGCGCAACGAGTTTACGCCCATTCCCTGAAATTTTAGGATACTCGACGCTCTGCACCTGTTCTTGATAGTCCACTGTGTCTATTATTATTTAGTGGCTCACTACGCAGATATCAATGCACTAACGGAAATTGTGTGGAGCTTCAAAGTAAGTGTTATTGGGGCCTCTGTTGTGCAGCTTCTACTATGATACTAATGGGCTCCTGCAGCTTCAAATAGTCATCGATGTAAGCGGGTTTTCCTATGCACTGCGATCAGCCTATACATCCATTACAGGTCATGATTGTTTACGGGGTACATCTGTGAGTCAAAAATGTACTGTTGCCTACAACTTGATGGATTTATGTGATGCTTTTATGGTTTGTAGTCTATACTTTCATCGCATATGGATAAGTATGTGTTACTCTATGAAGCCAATGGGTTTCTACGACTAATAATGATGTATCAGTTGCCAAGGGCCGATCAAGAGTACTCCCTATAGTCGTGGTGGGTTTAAATCGATGATCACGTATCATGGCATTGGTTTTAATGATGTAATACCAGGGCGTAATCGTAATTTTGGGTTCAGGTGAGTTTGTCATTTGGTATTCCTCTTCACTCGATCTTAGATACTTTCATCAGGTGTTGCTATCGGTAAGACTCCAAAAACTCGGTACTTTTGACAATAGTCGGCTCATCATTGTAATCCAATGACAGCCCTTATTTGGGCCATGTGAGTATAACAACCTGTTTACTAATTATATGAATCGCTGATAACGAGTAGATATCAGTGTCATGTGTTCTCGGATCTGGTTAAAATCGAGTGGGCGACATTTATGGCTTTGGGCACGATTACTTTCGTCGATTTCATGATAGCATCATCGCTATGCTATCTCCTCGCTATTTCCCGTACTGGATTCTCTAGGTAAGGAGCGGTCTGTTCACGCCGAGGGATTTGACATGTCAATATGGAGTACTTAGCACCGATTCCATGTTAACAAAGCTCATGGCTTACATTATTAACACGGGCTGTCTGACAAGGTATTCCTCCTTAGGCTTCCAGGCTAGTCCACATCTTGACTCATGTTTCATGTAGCATGTGTTCACTGTCGGCTATGATTACAGTAAGCTTACAATGATTATATTGTCCATCTCGTCTCTGATGTTCCTACAGTGCGCAGTGATGCCGCACAACTTCATCTTCCTCGGCGTTGAATTTTTGGTGGCTAAATGTATGACCCAAAGCATTCTCAGAATGTTGTGCTGACCACTAGTCGTTTTTCAGTATACGTCAACTCGTTCCTCGCACTTCTGAACGCGCGATACTACTTGCAGCCCGCTACAGAAACTAACCATTCTGCCGAAGTCCATATGCACCACGGCATCTACCGCCCAGAACTGAACGTTATAGCGTCCCAAGGCGAGGAATTCCAGGGATCCCGGAAAAGCACGTTTAAACACCCCGGCGATGATGTTATACATCTTACTCGATCTGCCATGGTAGGTAGCTGCGTTACTGGTGATGGAAGAGTGCTGATTATCACACTTTAGTCACGTCGGCCCATTGAGGTGACGGTAGAGACGAATTCCTTCTCATCAGCATGATGTATGAATACCAGCATCCATGTATCATGTATTATTCGGCTCTTCGCGAGATAAGACTTGTGAGTCTTTATTAGATCATCGCACAGCCGGTGTTGGGACAAGAAATTACATTGTCCATTATACTTCCATCTGTGGGTTTCATATATCACTCTACTTAGAACTACAAGGAACTACTATTTAGTCATTCGGCAAACACGATTTTTCATGCGCTTGGAATCAATGAGACTCTCACACGCACACCACTAGTCTAGTAACTTGCCATTCGCCACGTTGTCCAATACGTGTCTCACGCCACCAAGCCACCCATAAATTGTTGTAGACAAAGTCGTTGGTTTGGTGTCTGGCCAACAACCTCCTTCACTAGGAGTCCTTGTGTGATTGAATACATCGAGGAATAGCATACAACTAGTCAGATTTGCAAGACGTTTCATACTTTGACATCCTCAATGCGCCACTTGGCACGAAGGTCCACCGGGTAGTCATCATAAGCGAGGAACCGATGCATCAAAGCCCACGCAATCATCGCCGCATTGTCTGTGTTGAATCTCAAACGCTGTGAACTGATCGGCGTATTGAAGCACCGACCTGTGCATAATTCTAGCGGTGGGAAATGGAACAAGATGCGCTCATCAGAACTGTACTCATCTAGCGCTGCTCGGAGGCCACGGAAGTTAAGCAAACCGAGCTTGAAAAAGCCACCCTTCACGTAAAAGATGTCGCTGGCAACCCCCACCGCTAACGACAACATCCATGACAATCATGTCTTTCAGCTTGAGCTTTCGAAGGCTCCTCGTCAGCTTAGCACAGGGTTTGACGGGCTGCAGCTGCCTGGAATGCACGAGCCAAGGCAATTTATGTGAACTGGATAGATCCTTCCATGAGAGAAATGTAGCGCTCTACTGAAGATTGCGGACATGCAAATGAAAATACAAGTTTTCCCGGCATTAATACAGTGATCGGTTGTATGTCGGGTAGGGATTCGAGTTCATCGTCTGTCATGCGGCAAAGCGCCTCGAGTGCTGCACCAGGGCCTCTGCTTCCCCAGGACAAGTCAAGGCGTGTGCTGAAATGAAATGAGTGAGCGTAGTGCTCGAAGACAGTACATGTGCAAACGACCCAGCCATAGATGTTTGGAGGGCTCGTTGGAACTCCTCAAATCCATTCCCTTCATTATCGAGTATGTAGTCCAGTTGGTCACCCTGTGCAAACTCGAAGTCGTGGTCATGGGCCATCCCGTCTGTCTTCGCAGTCCTTGCTGTCTAGAGAGTGAATCACGCATCCACCCTACCCAGTGTTTTAGGCATATGCTGCGTATACAACGTAGGGCCCAAGGCTTGTGGCAGAAGGAACTCTCACATGGTGAGCCCTTCCTGCGCATCCGCTTCCCATTTGAGGAAGGGACAAAAGACAAGGGTGCCAGCTGCGTCTAAGGGGGGCTGCATTGGCAGGCCAGCAAAGGATGATGGCGGCATATTCGACGGTGCACTCAACATTGTCGGCAACTTGTTGGAGGAGGGTATGTGGCAAGATTATCGGGGTATCGCAGCAGCTCAAGGAAGAATTTTAAAAAAATCACTGTGCATGCTGGTGGAGACGTGTTGATACATTACTGCAACATAAATTGATGGGAACTTACCCTTGGCATTGGTGTCCCTGTATTTCCACATGTGTAGCCCTGACAGATGGTGAGCGAGATGGTGAGACCACAGTAGGTATAATCAACAACGAGTCCGATTGATGACACCACAGTATGGCACCTGGAATACTTGGAAAACGCGGAACTCCAGCCAATGAAATGTTGTCTGTTGCCACGATGGGCAACATAAAAGGTAATGTGACGAAGAATTAATGAGAGGCTGACGACGGAATAGCAAGAGGTACTGACGGCAGGATACAGCGAAACCTTTGACAGACTTCACCGCTGCCGCTTCTCAAAAAAAATTCCCAAGAATTCGAAGAAGGTCGACGTCCCACAGCTACGTACATGAAACGGAGTCTCAAACCAGAGTACTACCACATCTGAATCACGGCTGCAGCATAATGTTGACCTAGGACTCCATCTTTTGTGGCATCATGTCAAGCTGATCAAATCGATGCGTTGATAAAGTTGAACAAGACTTTCGTTACCAGATACCATACTTCCTGAGCTTCACCGTGAACGCTGAAACTTTGCCAGCTTGCGCAAAAATAAGGCCAATTGGTATTGCTAAATCGAAATTTATCATCCAGCCGAGTACTCCTAGCTGTTAATGGTGTTCAAACTCACAATAATCATCTATTGTCCTGCATGGAAGCGCAACGAGCCCGGCTATACTGTCTCTGCGAGCTGCGGCATCGGTCGCTGAATTCAAAAACTTGAATAAAATTCACATACAAGTGTTTTCAGGACACAACACTGATGTATCGCGGAGTACAAAGGGACCTCGAGGCTTCAAAATGCCGCGTCAGTGATTCAGATACCATACCCTTTATCAACCTGATCCACCATGTCGTCGGAAAGTACTGTCGCAGTAACAGCCATCTGGACAGACGATCAAAACACAATTAAAGGCGACCTCTTAGGCTCAAGCAATACGGTGGCAATGGCTGTGGGAATCTTAGGCAATCACATCAGCAAGCATATGACCAAGGTGTACGGCCTTGACCCTCCATTGAACCCACTCGCTATGCGAGCGAAGTACTTTCCAGGTAAGCTTCAATCCATGTCTTTTGTTTGCTGCAGAGACTGACTTATCGATCCACTTCTCTTACATAAAGATGTTCAGCCTTCAGATATGCTCAACGTCTGCCGCCCCAATGGTTTAACAGCAATATTCAGTCCTAATGTCGAGACGAATCGTCGTATCAAGACCCAATTAGCCCAGAAGGCACAGGCAAATCAGATATCCGTGGAAACCAATACAGCGTTGGCCACTAATACCGCCACAACCTCTCAGTCAAGCACACAAGCAGCCCCATCTCGCAGATGTATGTTGTAACATTCAAATAGTCTACAGACACTTATTAGTTTTCCGCAGCCAGGAGATCTAAGAAACGAAATGCCGCATCTGCGGCCAATCCTGTGTCGACAGCGAATCCCGCATCGACGTCCAATCTCCCTCAGGTGACCATGGACGTCCAGCTCAAGGAGATGCTAGCCTCGATGCAAAATGAGATTGTGGAGATGCGGGGCAAGAATGACAGGATTCTCAACGAGAATGGGAGCATGCGAAATGAGATCGAGAGCATTCGCAACAAGAACGAGAGCATTCTCAATGAGAATGAGAGCATTCGCAACAAGAACGAGAGGATTCTCAATGAGAATGGGAGCATGCGAAATGAGATCGAGAGGATTCTCAACGAGAATGGGAGTATGCGAAATGAGATCGAGAGGATTTCCAACGAGAACGAGAGCATCAACAATGATCTTGCAAGCGTTCGCAATGATCTAAATGCGGCGAGAGTCAAACACAGTCAGGACGTTGAAGCACTGAAAGAAGTAAGTCATCTTTCTTTCCTGTCACTAATTCTGACAACAAACTCCTTAGATCACCATGTTACTAGTCCCTTTACATCTTCGCGTCCTACTCGACCTTGCGCGCAAAAAGGTTCTGGAGCACCTCGGCCACGAGACGTGGGAGGACCTCCGCGCTTCCCGCAGTGTCTATCAACTTGCAGATACCATCTGCAATGATCTCAAACAAAAGGGTGTATCATACCCCCCATCATCCGAGTCCATCTTTTTCTTATGTTCATATAATAACATCAGACGGGCAGGTAATACAGCTGCTCACAGCGCAAAGGAGGACGACGTCAGACATGCAGTGTTAACGCAGTCGCTGGAGTCCCGTGATCGAAGATGCTTGGAAAGTTTATTTACATATGCGTACAACGGGGTGCCAGTCTAGGAATGATCATGGCATTCACTATACCACTAATTTTTGTATCGCATAGCTTCAACTCAAATACACGTACAAATGTCGTTGATAGCAGTACTTGTCCGGTCGACCTTTAAGCGTTCAGGGGGTGACACTGCCACTGTCCCGTCATGGTTTGTTCTCTTTCTTTTGCACCTGAGGCTAAGCTCCAAGGTTCGAAATTTGAAATCCAACAGCCTGGGCCCGGGAAGTGCCAGTCCCCGACTTCGACGGATTGGCAGCAAGCAGCCCAACAATCAGGCACTTCGCAAGTTTCACAACAGTATCGATCTGAGTCTAATCATCGTCAGTTTCCAGCTGCGAGCCGAAGATGTTATGGCTCTTCGTGGCACCGTGCCTGGCCGTGATGTACGCCCGGATGCAAGATGCAACTCGTGTTTCTCTCAGTCATGTGGGTTGCCATTGATCTCACTTTGTGCCAGCATAGTTTACTTATCGCCAGTTCTTTCGATCATGACCTATTTGTACACGTATGATGAGACAATATCCCAGTAGGCCATGATGGAAGACCATGATTGTACACGATGTGAGCTTCCTAAAGAGGTATGGAAAAATCGCCAGGAAAGAGAATGAGGGAGGGGAAGCATCGTAGAAGAGAAATTATTCAACTATGCGAAGCTGGTTGGATGATGATTTTAATATGTTTCTTGGAGCCGATAGACATTCTGAAATGCGTTCTGAGGATGTAGGCGAAACTGTAGATCGCACGTCATCTGCACCTAATTCTTTGGACCTACATAGAAGAATCGTGTTTCTGCGCCGTTGCCGCGCCGGGCGAGGGGCTAGCTTGCGCACCGATTTTTCATTACGTCCGCTAAGGATGGCCCTCATCCTGTCTTTGGACTTCTTACCGCTCATCACATATGTTGTATCCCAGTGGTGTAATTTAAAGGGTACGGGCGCAGTGACATAGCACGGGTATACCCGCGGGTGTACACAAACAAGAAATAGTAACACTACGTACGTAAGTCCATTAAACTCAACCAATCTGGTCCTCTCTATCAAGGTCCATACAGACGCGAGCAATAAGTTCATTTACTTCGGCATCCTGTTCGGTGGCAGGAGGTTCATCATTTTCAATATCGACATCAATTGCTTCCATTCTGTTCAAGTTGCCACAGGGCCCACATAGAATGTGCCGGAAGTGGTGCGCAGTCCTAAACATGTTGAAATGAGCTCACTAGCGAGAGCGACATGACGAAAGTTCGTACGTTACTTTCCTGATCGCAACCTGACCCAAATCGTATTAGCAGAGTCAATTTGGTGCAGCGCCACCGTCGCATTCTAGAACGCAACTCGACGGACCGAGCAATCTTCAGTTACATTTCACCTGCAAGTTGCTCTTTCACGATACTATTATCAGCCGGACATGGCTATGCACCACCTGCACCTTCCATGGCCTGGAAATCTGACGATTACGTTGCGTAACTCAGCGGTCTTCGTTTTTATCTCTGGAGCTAATACAGATGAGGAGATATCGCACCAATGCACCCAGCAATTGAAACCAGACTACTTACTAAGGAACAATGGTTACTGCGCCCCCCATCGACTAGATCTCAAGATAAGCAATGTCCGAACGTCATCGGCGTCACGGGCCACAGCTTGTATAGTGAAATCACGAAAATTCGATAACAAAATTATGTTATACAAGCTACAAACACGCTCTCAGTGAGTAGGAGCAAACGTTGTTGCCCTCTACTGCAAGCCAACTCGAGTGAAGCCTTAGAAGACTTCAGGTGAGTACCTCGTTAAATTTCATCTGTTGTACGCGTACTGCTACTCATTTTGTTCAAAGATCTCAGAGTCTGACTCACAAGAAACGGAAACGTCTACCGCGGTGCAATGGGTGCCCTGTAAATACAGCTCAGACGTATCTCAGTACGTTCTCGTAAGGCCCCCCCGAGCCTCATAAAAAACAATCGTCAGTTGTTTGGGTTTCCTATTGTCAAGAAGGAACTTTGGAACATGGGAACCATTGCTTTCCACCATGTTCGGCCAGGCAAAACTTTACCAGATAACCCCGGCTTCCTCGTCATGAATTCCCTTAGATTTGTCAAGGTTTATCTAGGTCTTGACATTTGCACTTTGGCACACGGAAAGGTGGTTGGAGATTCGAAGAGTATCCCATCGGACTGTATGACTTCGGGAAATGTGCTGTTGTTAGTGTTGTGGAGGGATACGGAACGCGAGGCTGCCTGTCCAACGCAAAATCAAGTGCATTCCCTGGAGATGAAGCTTAAGCGCTCACCGGGGTGGTGGGTGGAAGTCCCGGTGCGTATGCGTGGTCATTTCGAGAGCCATTCCGTTGACATCCTTGCATTTTTAGCAATTTTGATGAAAAAATATTCCACCATCGTTCCATGACTGGCTGTGATACCCTACCCATTTGTACCAACTCATTCATTATCTGCGATAGAACCAATCACTCTTGTACTTTATCTGTGATCCACACACTTAACATGAGACAGAACGATACATCTCAGAGGAATGCGGAGAGAATGCAAGACTATTTTCCCATCGATGCCAGCGCCACAACGCAGCACAGTGCCAAATACTAAGCACGAGACGCGCTACCCTTCGAAGATGAGATGACTATAAGTATGCGTGCGATTGAAGATGTAGGAGCAGGTGAATGACTATAACGCGATTCTCGTTACTCTTTTTCCTGCCCAACCCCAACTTGGTAACTGTATTAGCCTCTCACCCGAACTGCGTCAGTCAACTTCATACTCATTTTCACCAAAGATGACCATAAGATTTGTGCATGTAACATTCTATCTAACGTTGTTGTATACCACATCATTACATCTTTATTCCACCTCGCAATCCCATCCCTCCTGTCCACACCATCAAGATGCCCTAGATCCAAATATCACTATTTTTACGGCGGAGGTCCTTTACAATTTCTTGAAAGGCTCTGAGGGAGTCTCCCCTGGCGTCCAGAAGATCAAATTGATACAAGGTGCCATCCTCTGCTTTGGGGAGAAAGTCGGGGATGTTTAACGAGGGAAGAAAACGGTGGACTTCCTTCTCATCTACCACAGAGGCATCAGACGATGGTACTGGCGGTGTAGTGTTGCGGAAAGTTGGATCGCGTATCTCTGACATTGTGCGAGAAACTAGCTCTCCACGGTCCACGGTGCTGTACACCCAACGACGACCAGCAGCTATGATGACTCCCAAGTATTTTAGAGTACGATCGGCCTCAAATGCATGAAGAACCTGCTCCTGCACTTGCTCCTCCCAGATTGACTCCCACTGGAATCTATCGTCAGGACGTGGCGCTTTGATTTCAACAATCATAATAACCCGGCGGATTACATGACCGGGAACGACTGGGAAGGGCTGTTGTGCATGCTCGAGTATTTGCACAAAGTCCGGAATTTTGAAAGATGCATCCGACAAGCCAGTAGTCTGTCTGGGTGGAGTTGTTGGGGGAATACCACCTAATGGAATTTGATATGGCGATGAGGATTGAGGTAGTGGACGGGTTCTGACTGGAACATTGAAAGCATCCTTCGCATGACGAGCTTGCAAACGAGTGACACGCTGTGCAATAGGACTTTCAGGGTACGGTACATGACGCAACGAGCCTGAGTGTAAAGGGCTAGGTGTCAGGGGAGGCAGTGGCCCTCCGAAAATTGCCTGTGAATCAGGACTGAAACCTGGGATATGGTTGTATGGCACTGAGGGTGGTCCAGGAAGGGGGCTCCCTGGAGTCATTGAATGCCGATCTGGCGAAGGGCTGCCCATGACTATGTCAGACCAACCGGAGCTACCACTCTGCGGCGAGCGACCTGAATCATGGGATGCAACGAGGGAATACTGCGGAACGCATGTACATGCTGTTTGTGATGCATCCGCATTACGAAATATATATCTTTCCAAGACTTTGGACCACACCCCGTACCAGGGGCATTCTCTCCTATCGGCTTGAGCAGCCTGGATAGACAATGCGAGAGAGAAATCTTGGGAATCCCGGACGACCATTGAATGGGAACTCGGTAGAGTCACACCAGTGGTCCCTCCTCCTACAGATAGCTGATATTATAGTAGTGAGCAGTAATGAGGACTCGAGTCATTACATTTACTTACCGGCGATGTGAAAATCTGGGCACTCGGGGATGGTTGGCGTAGTGTAGTCAAAGCATTGTGATTCGTAAATACTTGAGAGTAGGTAGATGGGGTTGTGAAATGTCGATGAGGTGGAGATGACTGTGCAGTTGGACCTCGAGGTTGACGAGATGACATGATAAGGCTCACTGGGTCCTGGAGAATCGCTAGAATGATATATATGGGCTGCGCTCGTGAGTTTGATGACGATGATATGATGATTCAGACATTTTAAAGGCCACAATAAATGTTTGGAAGGTTGAAACATTGATGGAGATACGTATAAGCCATACTCACGGTTTGCGGTAACCGTTATCACTGACTCGTTTTTCATCACTGGCATCAAACTTTTCGACACAGCCCAACAACACCCACTCACCATGGTTCTTACTCCATCAAGCATAATCGCAGCCTCGTTGTTCTGGTCGACGCACGATCCCACTCGTGACAGTAGAGACTGCGACTATAATCACGCATCACTGAGGGGTCTCGGCACCGCCCATCCTTGCCCCGCGGTGATCTCTGCACTGTCGAGCATAATCGCAACCTTGATCGTTTCGTTCTGCATGCGGAGCCAACTGCAAGCTGTGGCAATACAGTCGAATCTACATCACTTCCATCATGCATCAGCTTCGATGCCACTCACCTCACCCACAGTGATTTCTCCAACGAGTGAATCAGTTGCATTCGTATGGCTCCCCTTACTATGACTCACCTTGCCATGAGCAACGGACCTTCTGCCAGCCAAATTGACAGATATCAGTGCCAGATCTTCAGATATGTTATCCGAAGTTACAGTTTTTTCACTTCCGGTTAAATAAATAACTTGCGCCCATCAGAGGCCGCCGTGCTTCGCAGAGTCCATAAAGGAAAGAAGACAAAATAGTCATCGTCTGTGATGTACCTAGTAGGTGGCGCCAGGATGATTGAAATAGCCAACGACGTTAATGGACGTGAACCTATCATACGGAGAGGATGAAAGTTCACCATAGGTCTACTTCTAAGACAGCTGCGAAGTGTGCAATGTGAAATTGTAGATCATACGGTGAATGAATGCATAAAGTAGTTACTAGTCACTCAGTGACTCCGTCCGTCCGACGCCACAACTCCATCCAAGTCACATTTTTCGGCGTTGGCCGCGTTGCTGCTTACGCTCACTCGTATTCTTACTCCATTTAGCATCATCAGTGTGGCCTTCGACACAATAGCATACGTCCACTGTCCACATTGATCAGTGGCGTGGGTGTATGCCAAAGTATCATATATTATAATACAGTTTGTTCAACGCCTCTTCGACAAAAATGACCTCGACTGCAAGCCAACTGGAACAAAGCCTAAGGGGACTTCAGGTGAGTGTCTTCATCTTCAATCAATTTGGCGCGTAATGTCACTCATTTTGTCCAAAGATCTCAGAGTCTGACTCGCAAGCAAAGTCTACCACAGTGCAATGGGTGCCCTCCAAATACAGCTCAGACGTATCTCAGTACGTTCTCCTAAGGCCTCCCCGGCCTCCATGCGGCAATCGTCGGCTGTTTGGGTTTCCTATTGTCAAGAGGGAACTTTGGAATATGGGGACCATTGCTTTTCACCATGTTCGGCCAGGCAAAACTTTACCAGACAACAATGCCTACATCGCCATGAATTCCCTTACATTTCTCAAGGTATATCTCGGTCTTCACCTTTGTACTTTGGCGTTCGGAAAGGTGGTCGGAGACTCGAAGAATATCCCATCAGAGTGCATGTCGTTGGGAGACGTGCTATTGTTAGTATTGTGGAGGGATACAGAATCCGAGTCGATCTGTCCAACACCAAGTCAAGTGCAATCCTTGGAGTTGAAGCTTAGGCGCTCACCGGGATGGTGGGTAGAAGTCCCAGTGCGTATGCATGCTCATTGCGAGAGCCGTTCAACTGATGCTCTATTTTTAGGCATTTTATGAATAGTGCGCTATTGTTCCATGGCTAGCTGTGTTACTTACCCCACTTGTACCGACCCCATTCATTTTTTGCGGTAGAACTTATAATTATTGCAAGTTATCTGTGATACATACACTTAACGTGAGACTGAACAATATATCGATATTGTAAACGAACACTGCGTAATTATATATTATACAAGCGATGACCTTCGGTCGTTGAGTTCTATCTACAAAAGCAGACATCGGTAATCACCTTTCGCTCTCTGCGCGAAAAGCTGCTTCATTTCTTCGTAAGTAGAGTTCTTCGTTGTATACTTCCAGAGATCTCCGACGTGCTGTTGGCAATCCATAATCAGTGAGATGTTTGCCGCAGTGCGATAGATGGTCGTCGATGATCTGCAGGGTGTAGTCAAGACTCAACAGCAACCGCTAAGTCATGTGTCTATAATACGCTGGCCTTCCTGTCTCTGCCTCCCATAATGACGACAGCTTCTTCCAAACCCACAGAAGAAAATTGGCGTCCATCCAGCCTTCTTGCATATAACGCACTCCCGGATCACCAGGACTTTGACTCGACAATATCTGATGCGAAGCCCACTGCTGATACTAGAATCGATTTCTACGACCGCAGTCTAACAAGTCGCAGATATGCCCTTGTCGGAATGGCATGTTCAAGTATCTTCAGCTGCTTATGCATCATTACAGGTATTGTCACTTTAGCCAGTCATGGAATCATGGCCCATGGGAGTAACCCCACTCAACATGGTCAATTCTGCTGAATATTTTCAACTGTCGCTGCCGGCGGAAATATTAGCCCTGATGCTTGACTTAATCGTCACATTATGTACCGAGTCCACAGGCTTCGTACACGGCATTTCATTGCGCTCTGCGCTAGCATCAGAGTCTCGGCTTTGTTTCAACACCAATCTGCGCCTTCTGACCGCAACTCGTGGATGGCATAACCCTAATGGCACCCTGCTTAACAGTATCTCGGCTGTCTTCCTCATCATATCCTACAGCTCGGCCTCAGTCGTCATATGTCTGGACGGACATATGAATTACTCAAAGACATCCCCAACATCTTATGTGGGTATTGCCATCGCAGGAATACCTCTCCTCATTTTGGGCGTCGCACTCCTCCTTCAGGTGATGATCGCATTGTCAGCGATGCGGGCTGTCAAAATATTCACATGGAGCTCCTCGCCTTTCGACTTGACCGCCGCACTTGTCCACCACACACAATTGACACCTACTACTTTCCGGTGCATGTGTTGTGTGTCTAACCTAGACACGTATGGAGGACCAGCGAAGCCATCAGAGACACAGCCCTCTGCGTGGCATGCTCACCCTAGCATCCGGAAAGTTGTCATTTTTCTTTGGGTTATTGTTGCAGCATGCGCTGGATGGGCGGCATTCGTCATGAGTATCTTGGACGGTTCTCTGACCTTACAAACGTGGTCGTTCTTGCAAAATTTTGAGGGCCATTTGGTGGCATATGAACTACCGAATGGCAGTCCTGAGGTGGTGTGGATTCTGCTCTTTGTCAACATTGCAGCATTCCAGGAACTGTTGACGCTTGGGCTGCATTGCTCGGAGCTCATCGTGAATGTCATTCGAGACGAAAGACAGTGGAGATGCGCTGCCAGAAGGCAAGGACTTAGAGTGGCGACGAACCCGCTGAAGCCCATTTTCACTCATCCACTCTGTCTCATACTTTTTATCGCGAAGCCTTTCCTGCGTGAGTCATTCACGCCTAATGTTTTGTTGTCAGTGTTATTCACCGATCACAGACTGGATGTTTGGGCTTTCATTCAACATAGTCAGAGGCGCCATTCAAGAATCCCTAGAACTTGAAGGTTTTTTGATACATATGTTCACTGCCCAGGTTCGCCCTTACTGTCCATGTAAAATTGTTACAACATTCTCACATATTTGCAGATCTGGAACTTATGCATTGCGCTATTTATATTTGCCTGTTTCTTCACCTTCGTTGCACTACGCCGACCGTCCGGTCCCCAGCCAGCTGCATATGGCCACCCGCAGACGCTCGCCAACCTCGTGGATGAGTGGTCGCCTGTGATGTGGTGGGGACACAAGGAGGATGGAATTCCATACTGTCATGCTGGTAGGATACTTGCATGTTCACGATGACTCGGATGCTGCATTGACACTTGAAAAGGGACAAGCGATCACCCGCTGCCGGATGTGAAGATGGACTGCGTTTATGCTGGTTCCGGTGCTGGGTCTCCGGTACCCCTCTCGTGAGAGGTACTTGATTTGCTTTTTAAGGGAGTGCTCTGATTTCTCTTTTAAAACAGAGAAGTACATCCATATCAGGCTGGCGATGTATTCATGGTGCGCACGATTAGTCATGCCATTGAACGAGATATACGATTTTCATGCTATCTACTGCGTTCTAGTTTGTTCTTCTTATACCATCGATACGAGTCTGGGACAACTTTTAGCGGACACTTTCGATTGGACCTTTATATTATTGAATCATTGTAATCATAACTTAACATCATGTAGCTGATGGACAATTTTCCTCACGGGATCTCTGCGCCGATCCTTACCACATCATCATACGATGCAACCGTTCCGTGCGATTCATTGCCAAATTTTCACTTGATCCAGAGCGTGTTACACCATTCAACTATGTAGGTGGCATCAAAGTGTACCTTCTCTCTGGCACTGCCCAGGCAAGGATGCCGAGGCGCGCGCAATTTCAGCTTGCGGAAAGTGACTCTGACACAGAAATCTGTCCCCGGTTGACCCTGAAGCACAAGCTCACAGAGGACGATGATGATAACGTCGATATGGAAGAAGGTATTTGGCCTTTGTATTTGCCATGCAATTCATTCTGCCTACTCAATGTCGACTCTAAGAGCTATGCTCTGCTACTCACCGCCACCCCCATTCAGCCCACCTGCTCATCGCTCGCATCTTTGCGTATGCCATCCATTTCGACACGTACCCCATGGGCCTTGAATGGCTCGACGATGATATAGATAGCCGAATCCTCGTTTATCAATCAACCGTCTCTGCACATACTGCACATCAGTACCTTCAAAATTCTGCTACGAAGGATATGGACGCAGACGGCCTTGCCACGGAAAAACCCATTTCAATTACTTTATGGCCACCAGAAGAGTGAATAACCAAGAGCCTGGCTAACGGTCAAGGCTTGAAAAGTATCATACATGCGTTGGGATAAGGACGACGACTGATGTAAAGAAGAAGGGCGCAAACGAAAGCAAGTTCTATAAGAAGTATGGAAAAATCGCCAGGAAAGAGGATCAGGGAGGGGAAGCACCGCAAAAGCGAAGTTAACTGTGTGAAGCCGTTGGATGATGATCTTGATGCGTATCTTGGAGCTGATAGGCCTTCTAAAATGCGCTCCGAGTATGTGGGTGGGTGATGGCAAAACCGTAGAGCGCACATCTTCTACGCCTAATTCTTCGGACCTAAAAAATCATATTTCTGCGCATGTCGTTGCCGTGCCGCGCGAAGACTGGGGCAGAGCGAGGGGTCGAGGGAGAAGAGTTCCACGCCCACAAAAAGTCCTTGAGGATGAGATAGAGCTCAGCGCTCTCCTTGTTTCCCAGCTAAGGACGACATCGATGCTGTGTTTGTACTTCTCATCACATATGTTGTAGCAGATCCCAGTAGGTGTAAAAAAGATTCGCTTACAAATATTGCGTATTGACTGCTTATAATTTATTTTGTTGCCAGACAGTTCGTATAATATATGTCACTTTTCCTGTCACCAAAATCCAATTTGGTGCACCGCCACCTCGGGCAATTGCATTCTAGAATTTCTAGAAGGAATCCAACTCGACCGTCCGACTCGGACTTCAGTTACATTTCACCTGCAAGTTGCTCTTTCATTTTGTTTCACAACACTATTACTATCAGCCATACATCACCTTCTATGGCTTGGAAATATGACGGTGACTGAGCGGTCTTCGTTTTATCTCTGGAGCTGATACAAATGAGGAGATCTCGCACCGATGCACCCGAATAATTGAACAGACTACTTACTAAGGAACCATGCTTACTGCACCCCCCGTCGACTATATGTCAAGATCAGCAATGTCCGAAGGTCATCGACGTCACCGGCCACAGCTTGTATAGTGAAATTGGAAAACTCGTTTCCTATACAAGACAAATATCTGGTGCTCGATAACAAAATTATGTTATATAGTGCGATCTACCATCGAATTTCCTCACCGGTTCGTCGATGCAGCCACATGCACCAGAGGCTATGGTCAGAATCGAAACATATTTAATCTGCGTGGGTCTATCATAATGCGCTGCCCTTCCTGTCTCTGCCTCCCATAATGATGGCAGCTTTTTCCAAACCGATAGAAGCAAATTGGCATCCACCCAGCCTTCTTGTGTATAACGCACTCCCGGGTCATCAGGACTTTGACTCAACAATATCTGATGTGAAGCCCACGGCTGATGCTAGAACCGATTTCTACGACCGCAGTCTGACGAGTCGCAGATATGCCCTTGTCGGGGTGGCATGCACAAGTATCTTCAGCTGCTTATGCGTCATTGCAGGGATTGTCACTTTAGCCAGTCACGGAATCATGGGAGCAACCCCGCTCAACATGGTCGGTGCTGACTCGAAGGTGTTTTTGACCCTGATACTTGACTTAATTGTCACATTATGTACCGAGTCCACAGGCTTCGTACATGGCATCTCATTGCGCTCTGCGCTGGCCTCAGAGTCTCGGCTTCGTTTCAACACCAACCTGCGCCTTCTGACCGCAGCTCGTGGATGGAATAACCCTAATGGCGCACTGCTTAACAGTATCTCGGTTATCCTCCTCATTATATCCTACAGCTCGGCCTCAGTCGCCATATGTCTGGACAATCATGATTGGTCAGAGACATTCTCAATAAATCACGAGGGTATTGCCATCGCAGGAATACCTCTCCTCATTTTGGGCGTCGCACTCCTCCTCCAGGTGATGATCGCATTGTCAGGGATGCAGGCGGTCAAGATCTTGACATGGAGCTCCTCACCTTTCGACGTGACCGCCGCACTCGTTCACCATACACAATTGACCCCTGCTACTTTCCGGTGCATGCGTCGTGTGTCTGACCTAGACACGTATGGAGGACCGGCGAAGCCACCAGAAACACAGCCCTCTGCGTGGCATGCTCACCCTAGCATCCGGAAAGTTGTCATTTTTCTTTGGGTTATTGTTGCAGTATGCGCTGGATGGGCCGCACTCGTCATGTATATCTGGGGCCGCTTGTTTACCAACGAAGATTACAGCAATCCTCTGACCCTACAAACGTGGTCGTTCTTCCAACGTTCTGATGGCAATTACCTTACATATGGTTTACCGAGTGGCGGTATTGAGTGGTGGATCCTGGTCTTTGTCAACATGGCGGTTGTCCAGGGACCGTTGACGCTTGGGCTGCATTGCTCGGAGCTCATCGTGAATGTCATTCGAGACGAAAGACAGTGGAGATGTGCTACCAGAAGACAAGGACTTAGAGTGGCGACGAACCCGCTGAAGCCCATTTTCACTCATCCGCTCTGTGTCATACTTTTTATCGCGAAGCCTTTCCTGCGTGAGTCATTTATGCCTAGTATTTTGTTGTCAGTGTTATCACAGACTGGATGTTTGGGATTTCATTCGACATATCCACAATCGCCACTGACGACACCCTATACGGTTTCATGATATATATGTTCACTGCTCAGGTTCGCCCTTACTGCCCATGTAAAATTGTTACAACATTCTCACATATATTCGCAGATCTAGAACTTATGCTTTGCCCTCTTTATACTTGCCTTTTTTTTCACTTTCGTCGCACTGCGCCGACCGTGTGGTCCCCAGCCGGCTGCATATGGCCACCTGCAGACGCTCGCCAACCTCGTGGATGAGTGGTCGCCTGTGATGTGGTGGGGACACAAGGAGGATGGAATTCCGTACTGTCATGCTGGTAGGATACTTGCATGCTCACGATGATGCTGGATTGACACTTTTGAAAAGGGACAAGCGATCACCCGCTGCCGGATGTGAAGATGGACTGCGTTTATGCTGGTTCTGTTGCTGGGTCTCTGGTACCCCTGTCGTGAGAGGTACTTGCCTTATTACTTTTTAAAGGGAATGTCTTGATTTCTCCTTTTAAACACAGAAGTATATCCAATTCAGGCTGGTGATGCATTCACGGTGCACACAATCAGCCATGCGGCCCATGCCATTGAACGAGACATAGATTTCCATGCTATCTACTGCATTCTAGTTGGTTCTTCTTATACCATTCATACCGACAACTTTTAGCGGACACTTTCGATTGGACCGTTGAATCATTGTAATTTTGGTGGATTATAACTTAGAATCATGTAGCTGATAGACACTTTTCTTCACGGGATCTCTGCGCCGGTCCTTACCACATCATCATACGATGAAACCTTTCCGTGTGATTCAATGCCAAGTTTTCACTCGATCTAGAGCGTGTTACACCATTCGACTATGTAGGGAGCATTAAAATGTACCTTCTCTCTGACACTGCCAGGCAACTTGAAGGATGCCGAGGCGCGCGCAATTTCAGCTTGCGGAAAGTGACTCGGACACAGAAATATGTCTTCGTTTGACCCTGAAGCACAAGCTCACAGAGGACGATGATGATAATGTCGATATGGAAGAAGGTTAAGACGAGCATTTAGCCTTTGTATTTGCCATGCAATTCACTCTGCCTACTCAACGTCGACTCTAAGAGCGAATGCTCTGCTACTCACCGGCACCTCCATTTCCCACCTGCCCATCGCTCGCATCTTTGCATATACCATGCATTTCGACGCGTACCCCATGGGCCTTGAATGGCTCGACGATGATAGCCGAATCCTCGAAAAAAAATACCAAGAGCCTGGCTAAAGGCCAAGGGCTGAAAGGTATCATACAGAGACTCAAAAAAGTAATGCACAGAATCATTTTCTATGTATCTCCACCAAAACACGATACTTTTCTGTAATGTAAATTGTGAACTGTAGCCTGAGGTGTCCTCTACAAGGGCCTAAAATTAGTAAAACAAAACACCGATAACTGCTTTCAGTAGAGGCAGAATATCAAAAATGCCATTTTTCAACTTCTCAGGGGATTTATTTTTTGTCTTGTAACCTTACCCAGTTTATAGAGCATGGTGTTCTGAGTAAAATATCACTTTGAATCGAAGGAAAATGTTGAGTCCTTGTGGAGATATATCCGTTGTAAAAAGGGGCTACATGCAAAATTTAGCAGTGTTTACACCCAAATTTTGCATGTAGCCCCTTTTTACAACGGATATATCTCCACAAGGACTCAACATTTTCCTTCAATTCAAAGTGATATTTTACTCAGAACACCATGCTCTATAAACTGGGTAAGGTTACAAGACAAAAAATAAATCCCCTGAGAAGTTGAAAAATGGCATTTTTGATATTCTGCCTCTACTGAAAGCAGTTATCAATATTTTATTTTACTAATTTTAGGCCCTTGTAGAGGACACCTCAGGCTACAGTTCACAATTTACATTACAGAAAAGTATCGTGTTTTGGTGGAGATACATAGAAAATGATTCTGTGCATTACTTTTTTGAGTCTCTGTACATGCGTTGGGATAAGGACGATGGCTCGCATAAAGAAGAAGGGCACAAAGGAAAGCAAGTTCCATAAGAGGTATGGAAAAATCGCCAGGAAAGAGGATAAGGGAGGGGAAGCACCACAAAAGCGAAATTAACGGTGTGAAGCCGTTGGATGATGATCTTGATGCGTTTCTTGGGGCTGATAGACCTTCCAAAATGCGCTCCGAGTATGTGGGTGGGTGATGCAAAACCGTTGTGGAATGCACGTCTTCTGCGCCTAATTCTTCGGACCTAAAAAATCGTATTTCTGCGCACGTTGTTGCCGTGCTGCGCGAAGACTGGCGCAGAGCAAGGGGTTGAGGGAGAAGAGTTCCACATCCACAAAAAAACCTTGAGGATGAGCTAGAGGCTCAGGTTTTCCAGAACGAGAATGATACTTTCTATGTGAGTACAGTACACTTTTTCATAATGCATGGCCCCATAATGCATAATTTTCATAATGCATCACCTTTGGGTGGGTCCCGTTGTGGGACGCGGGCAATATGTGTGCAAAACGCATAACACATAATGCATAAGCCTCTGGGCTGATTTATGCATTATGAGGCCATGTTCGGGTCAGCATCAGTCACTGTCAGCACCTATACTAATGTAGTTTAGACTATCTAAAGTGCATAGCGGTGTCAAAATTTGTCTTTGTTCTCCTCTCGCATGCCCAATAAGACCTGCAAACCGTGGGAGAAGCCAGCTCCCTACAAGCGGCGTCATGATTACGAGTTTCCAGGTGGGGACAACGAGATTGTCGAGGAAGTTCGAAGACAAATGGCAATTGAAAGGGGGGATATCATAGAGCTGGATTCAGATAGCGAGGACGGCGACGAAGATGAAAACGTGACGCCGGAGTACACTCTCACACAAGTATTCATGCTGTGCCAGCAACTCGAAGATGCTTGCCTTCAATTTGGTGAACTTGAGCTCTCATTTGATCTCTCAAAACGGCTGCGGGCAATTAGGGCTGGTGTGCGCAGAGAGGAAATTCGTGGAGCAAAGCAGACAACAATAGATTCGTACTTCGGCGGTAAATAGAAAATGATATGTTTTGGACCGCTCTCAGCTGTCACACTCTTGAGGGAGGTCACATGGCATCACAATGTGTCACATATGTCACACAACTTGGTTATGCATAAGGGGTGATAATGCCATCAGAGAACCGATGAACAAATGAGAAGGTCATCTAAAGCAATATATAATACAGCGTCACAACAATCTTTGTATATCTGCTGACCGCTTCACATGGGAATATTTGGCATTGTCGAGGAAACAACAATTTGAAAGCACACCAGCTGAGGAACGATATTGGCTAAGTGATCTCTTTCATTTGAATGTGTCTGAGAAAATATAAACGGGCTCAGGTTCAAAGCACACCAGCTGAGGAATGATGTTGGCTAAGTGATATCTTTCATTTGAATGTGTCTAAGCACCAGCTGAGGAATGATATTGGCTAAGTGATCCCTTTCATTTGAATGTGTCTAAGAAAACATAAACAAGCTCAGGTTCAAAGCACACCAGCCGAGGAACGATATTGGCTGAGTGATCTCTTTCATTTGAATGTGTCGAAGAAAACATAAACGGGCTCAGGTTCATCAAGTTTAATATGGACAGGTGCTGAGAGGGAAAAGAAAGAAGGTTGCGATTTGTGAAGGTGAAAGACACTGCGATAATGTTTAATTGTTAGCTGCTAGATATCAATTGGGGATCCGTGCGAAAAAGTGTTGCCTTTGCGGAGCAGCGGATGCATTCAATAGGTGAGCGACAGATCAACTTTTGTTCCGCTTTGACTTTTAATGACATCTACTTGAAAATTCTAACTTTCATCATTAATGGGACAATTTTTCAACGTGTAATGAAAGCAAATACCTTCCAGAGGATTACAGAGTTGACAGCAGTGAGTCATCCTTCCCATCGGCATTTCCCTTATCATTCAACGAACATCTCATGTATTTCGCCCCACACCAGTTACATTACTTCGCTTGCGACAGACATCGTGCCTCTATGACTCAGTATCTGGGCTCGCGAGTTGACATCAGTGAGTCATGCTTTCCATCGGTGTTTCCCTTATCATTCAATGAACATCTCATGTATTTCGCCCCGTACCAGTTACATTACTTCACTTGCGACAGACATTGTGCCTCTACGACTCAGTACCTGGGCTCGCGAGTTGACAACAGTGAGTCATCCTTCACATTGGTTTTTTCCTTCTCATTCAACAAGCGTCTCATGTATTTCGCCCCGTACCAGTTACATTACTTCACTTGCGACAGACGTCGTGCCTCTACGACTCAGTACCTGGGCTCGCAAGTTGACAGCAGTGAGTCATGCTTTCCATCGGTGTTTCCCTCATCATTCAACGAACATCTCATGTATTTCGCCCCACATCAGTTACATTACTCCACTTGCGACAGATGTCGTGCCTCTATGACTCAGTACCTGGGTTCGTGAGTTGACAGCAGTGAGTCATGCTTCGCATCGGTGTTTACCTCATCATTCAACGAACATATCATGTATTTCACCCCGTACCAGTTACATTGCTTCACTTGCGACAGATGTCGTGCCTCTATGGTTCAGTGCCTGGGCTTGCAAGTTGACAACAGTGAGTCATGCTTCACATCGGTTTTTTCCTTATCATTCAACGAACGTCTCATGCATTTACAGAAATAAAAACTTTTGGAAACTGATGGGCAATACCACACATTTTTGTCTAGTCATCTACAAAACAAATTGATTTGTTAAAATCACCACTTACGAAGGTGTCTTGTCATAGCTAATTAAACAAGCAGAAGAGACTTATTGACAGCTCGCGACGCACTGTCAGATATACGGATTCAAAGACAAATGTTTTGATATTAATAATATTAGTAGCATATGGTACAGTGTAAATGTAGGACTGCACTGAATGCAGTGCAGCAAAGAGTAGTCGACGCAATGATTATAGATCCTTGAAGGAAGTGGAAAAAGCAAGTGAAAATATTAAGTAGCTATTCGGAGTCAAACACGGCGTCTTCCATCTCTTGTCTCTGCGCAGCAAGTGCGCTCACAGACATCCGGGAAACAACGTCCATCGTCAAGTCTTCCCGATGATTTCTGCCGAAAACTTTTCTGCACAGGGTATTAGCGATGCAAGTGAGTTACTGACGATCGATGACTGACCTAGTCCACCATTCAAGGAGCTCTCTAACTCTGGCTCGTGCCGCCGGACCCGGGGCGTCCTCAAAGAAATCCACGATGTTGTCCCAGAAAATTTGATAATCAAAATCACCGTCTACAGCGCACCAAGATGTGATATTAGAGAGTGCAAAACGGATCTGCAAAAATAAATTTCAGCCTTACAGTCAGGGATGAGCATTGATGATTACTTGGCAAGTTGCATAAGCGATCGCACGAGGAGTGACTTTCCTCATACCTATGATAGAAGCCACACACATTTTCACTTTAGCCTGATCTGATCGTCTCCTGGCACGACAGTCGTTCTCGATGATATTGGTGCCATCGCCGTCGCCATCCACTTCGTTGGCAGAGGACGGAGAGGTAAAGATAGCTTTGAACCCCTGCGATGCGATGAGATGTGAATCAGTTGGAAAAATCAAGTTACTCACCATAACCAACAGCTTCGACTTGAAGAGACCACGTTCGAGATTCTTGGTGTCAGCTTGGTAGTCTTCGTACATGAATGCCGGCCATGAATTCTCAGACACGATGAAGGAAATTGTACAGTCGCAAATGCCAGCCCTGATGCTGGACTCGGAATATTAGTGAGATGTGAGCGACGAAGACCATCACTTACATCGGATCTCCCCAGCGCCATTCCGCTGGGCAAAGTAATTGACCGCATGCATCGTGCACAAAACCCCAATGATGTTTGTCATCCGCTCTAATGAGGGGAGTCGCATTACACTCAATATTTACCCATGACGCCATGAGCTCTTTGAGAGTTCCGGTGTCGTCACCACGAGCTGAATCCGCGCCCCGCTTGAGCTAAATGGAAAATGAGCAAGAAGTGAACAAACTGGTGTCGGAAAGTACCTTTCTGAGCATGTCTTCCAACTCTTCGTGGTCAAGACATGACAATTTTTTATGAAGCCATGGCAATACTTTAATGAATTCAATATAGCCATGTTGGAGGCGGTTTTGGCTGTTCCTTTTCATAAACAAACATGAGGATATGAACAATGATACTACTCACTCCGGAGTGGTGTCGCTGTCTGCGTTTTCTTCACAACGCCGGTCATTTTCGGCAATGAGATCCTCTATGGGAGTGTAAAGGACCACCATCTGGCGAATCGCTCGTCCCTGTGAAACATAATAGGTCATCTTCCTAGTGACAATGAGACACTGAAACTGCTTTCAGTGGTTGAGAAAGGAGGTGCGCACCTTTGCTTTGTCGCTTTATCTTGCTTCAAAATTTCGACCTCCTCCATGAGGGCGGCAATCTTGCGCTTCGCCCTAGCATGAGGGGATGTTTGGACACAAAGGGATGTGTTCGAAGAAGGTGCATTCTCAGACGACATGCCAGAGATTTGAAGTGGGGTGAACGAAAGAGTTCAACCTGTGAGGCCGTCTTATATACTTGCCGAAAGCTCTAATGACCTTGTGATCACGTGAAAATCTCTCATGAGTTGTTCTCGAATAAGTAGAAGAGACTCGCCTTACTTGGTAGTTTGTCTCGAGCCCGTTTTGGTGATCCGTAGTAGCCCGTGTCGAGCCTGTTTTTGGATTAGTGTCAGAAACCCTGAAATTTGCAAGACAGGCATACAACGTGCGGAGTGCCCTTGGTAAGTGAGTTGCTGCTTGTAACCTAAAGTAGTAGTCACTTCATTGCCATCTATACAAATAATGTTCTGTCAACCAGTTAGTGAGTCGACCGGCCAAAATGTTCGCTTTAAAGTCTCCCCGACTCTCGTAATCAGAAAAGTAAGTATCGGTGGCCTTCACGACAGCGACGACAGCATCCAAATGATTTTCACTTCCTTGCATTTGACACAAGGCGACCGCAGTCAAGTGCGCGACATTGCCAAAACAGATGCGATGCTGCAAGGCTTGTTAGTAACGATTGCGATCAGTGAGAATAAAGTTATCATTCCTACTAACGACTCAGTAAGTGAATGTGGGCACCAACATTACTATTGATGTACCTTTGAGGCGGTTCAGCTCAATGCGCTTAACTTGCTCGGGTGTCAGAAGCGAGTTCTCGGCAGTGGAAAGCGTAGGAGAAGCATTCCTGGATTAATGCTTGAGACCTCCGGTGATTGATTGCTAGCTTTACTAAGGGTTGGAGACGGTGTTTCCGTTTCATATGACAAAGACTCGAGTTCTACGGATTAGGAAGTTGGTATTTTTACCACTGATGTGAGCGGTCAACTATTGGCAATACGTCCCATGCACTGTCTGCGCGTTTTCCTGGTATTCGACTAATATATTGGCAACATAACGACAGCAATGATAACAAGCAGGTCAGTCGAAGCAAATCATCAACTTTCTACACTTGTGCACGTAGCATCGTTCGTTTTTGGCGACTTATCGCCCGAGTAATGACTCCTGTCGTGCCATTGGCAACGACCGGTTCGATAGGTGTAGGCCCGCTTTCTGTGGTCAGTTGGAGTGTCGACTTCCATCGGCAAATGTCCGCTCAACACGGAGCGAACCATCGTGGTGTGTGCACTAGGACCAGCCATGGGTCAAGCCCGCAGCACCCGAACTCAAGATGCCCACACCGATACCAAACCTCCTTCCACCAGCAATGTCCGCATCGCTTGAGCAATATCTGGCAGTTTGATGAACATTCCAGCACCTTCCAAATACCCTCCAAATCCATACCTGTCATATGAATACCGGGAGGCTTTCCCAAATGTCGCAGATGTTCGAGTACAATATTCTTGACACGTTCCAGGTACTCCGGTGCATTCATATCCCCTGTATTTGACGTAGTCCGGTCCAAAATACTTGTAGTATTCATCCACGGGTATTTCTAGATCATGTCAGTACGAGGTGAGAGAACTGCACTGAAAAAAGGCCAACCCAGTAGTACGGAGGCTTGTTGAAGGACTTCACAAATTGACACGGTTGGCATGCCCTGAATGTAAGTTCAAACAAGTCAAGGGTGACACTTTTGGTCATACCTCACATAGATAGGTTTAGGCAGCCGAGTTTGCCGACAATGAGTCCGTTCCAAATTGAAGAACAATAGCCGACGGGTCATACAATTCCATGACCTCACGAATCACCTGTATTGAAAACTTGTAGACGCCTAGCTGGAAAAGAAAACATCACTCACAGGTTCGAACACTGATTTATAGTTTTCAGTCCGAGAATCCATCGCGCAATGGGAAGTTGGGAAAGTAATATCCTCCTTCGCCTATTCCTATGTCCTGATAGGTGTCAACAATATTCCATCAACAAGACAAGATGACGCTTACCCGCAATTCGCCAGTTCCTGGAAAATACTCGCCATATTTGTGGAAACTGGCCAGTCATGACCCGATCTGTGAACGCTTCTTCTGCCCCGTCGCCATGATGAACATCAATATCAATGTAAAGGACTCTGGTATGATACCTGGTGGGTTCCGATCATCAGGACCATGACATGATTAGACTCTGCAATTGAAAAGCCCTTACCGGAACAACTCAAGAATGCTCAGCACGATGTCTGCGGCATGTAATTAGCGTGAAGATGACTGTTGCAGAAAGAGTTTGTAGAGTTGGTTTCGTCCTGTTCAGGGCAAATAACCGTGTCACAACCTTCGGCTTGATAGACAACCATAACTCACGGGTGCCCAGGACCATAGTGGAACCCCCCGATGAGTCCGAGTCGAAGAACTAACACTGACGGGGAGGTAAGCACGACTCTGATCGAGGAATTTCCGGCTGCAAAGATGACTTACCACGGAATGCTGAGTAGACCGTGCGACCGAGGTCTCTCAGGCTATCTTACCTGCGTTAGTAAGCATCTTTGAAGTAAGTCGATGAGTCCGCGAGCTGAAACTGAGCGAAGGAAGAGCAATCGGTCGCTTCCATGACTGGAGCATTGTTCTGAAGCGTGCTTCGGCGCCTTTTAGTCAATCTCCTTCCAGACAGTAATAACCGTGACGCGCAACGACAACTATCGGAGCGAATGTTGCTATAAAACGCTAAGCAAATGCGCCAATGCCGGTAGGATCGGGTTTTGAAGGTGAACTTTAAGAATAAAGTTCCTATAGTAGCACTTAACGTTCCAAGAGGTAAATTTTTCGATCCGAACAGCATTTATTACCTAATCAGCTGGTCAACCAATGTTTACCATGTTTGTAGAACTGCTTATCAAACTTCTGCCTTGCGTTCCACTTGCTCTCACCGGACGTGATTTTACTCAATCGATAATCTTCACGTGTTCATGGGCAGAAGGCGGGAAATATCTTTATTTGAAGATGTACATTTTATATCTTTTGCTCGCCTCACTCATCACAATGTCAGGCTGGCCTGGGGACGATGAACAATCGCAGGCCGTTTACGATGATGATTCCCCACATCTTTATATCGACTATACCGCAGACCCTCTGATGGGATTACCAATCCATCCTGACCATCGTCATGATCAGGTAGTTCATCGCTCGTTTTCACCTCACCCTGGTCACGATGTGGTGGCCGCAGGCCCAGTGAGTGATCTATACTGAAACTCAAGTCTTGCTCATTGCCGTTCGTTCGCAGGCCCAGGGCAACCATCATGTACTAGAGATAGCGCATCCTGTACCCAGATATGGCATTCCTCCGGTTTTCTATACTGCCTGGCCAACGTCGCAGTCTTCAGATTCCCCACCGGCCATGCACGCAGGAGGTGCTTCCATGCATCAAAACGTGAGCCACCCTGAGCACGGGTCCAGTCAGCAGCCCGAGATCGCGGTGCCAACGTCAAGCCTAGAACCATCGAATATATCATCATCCCATTCTAGCGTCACCCTCGAGCAGTCCCTCTCATTATGATCTCGACGATATCACCTATCACACAAAGATGAGCTGCCAACGCAGCAAAGTTGGCCCCGCTCGCGCAATCTTCAAGACAGCTAAACTTGTCGGCATGGAGCGAGCCCAGCTCGCCAGGAAACTTCAAGCTGGTGCATCTTCTGCCACCACTCAAGGCTCATCCGAGCAATCATCTGGGGCTGACATGAAGATCGTCCCCGGATCAGGCATCAGAAAGCTGTTGGAATGTTTTCGAGTTGGAATGAGAAAGACTTCCTTCGAAGAATCAATATTGCCCTCGATCAGTTCCCTTAGTGCAACAGTGGATTCTTCATGGCAAGCCGTGGCCAATGAACTCCAAGGCAAGTCTTTCCCAAAGCTCCGAGTAATATACGAGACTGATTGGAAACAGGAACCGACCAGGATTGGGCCATGGAGATGATGAAGGACAAGAATTACGTTGACGAAAAGATGGGATCCGTGATCGATGAAGTATCGGAGGAGATATGTGCAGTGGCACGAATTTTCACATACCAGTGCTATGAACTCGACTTTGGCGACTTGGCCATGTTGGTGAAGAAGTCAGACATCGACGAACGCGCAAATTATATTCAAGGTTTGCTGAAAGACGATTTGTTCATTTATGGTAAACTATTCTCTGTAAGTCTAATCCGCTCGTGGCTCACATTCATAAATCAACACTGATATGTCCTTTGAGGTCGACAGAGCTGACCTTGGCATCATCGCATTCGCTAGCCCAGCCATAATCCGAATGACTTGATACTTATTGCACGACAGCCCCCATCGATATCACAAGTACATCTCCAATGGCAAGTACGGACCAATACTCGCCATGGCCACTGCGGTCTGCGAGTGGGTACTGCACCAATATGAGACAGGTTACTTTGTCGAAAGCAAGTTTTTGCCAGAAGAAAACATGCGCAAAAACACCAAGTACCTGAACATGTTCAACAATATGAGCGCTGAGGTGATTGCTACCCTTATCTTACATTTGACTAGCAATTCTGCATTGACTCAAGCTTCGCTCGTTACCTTTTAATATCTTTAGGTTTAAATTGTTCCCCCAATTCTTACTGCATACGGTGACAGTGGTAGTCACATTGTACTTGTAGTCTCATGATCCCAGGTTCGCTTTTAGGAAATACTAAAGCATTCGGTTCGGTGACTAGGGTGTTTACTAAGTGAGTACGTACTATTCCGGCAGATGCACTACGGAGCTACTGAGACTTCAAAGCTTCTACGTCTAGTACCAAACACGGAAATCGAGTGATCGACAAGGCGCTAGATCATTTCAGGTAATCATACGCGGACTTTCCATTGAACTGTAATGATACTGACGAACTGAACTAGAACTTTGATATAAAGGTCGGGTGGGCGAAGTTACAGTCTACACTGCCTATCCTTAGTGCACGATGTCTCCCATTACTCGTACTCAGAATAATCATGTCGATTCTATTCCATCTGTGACTCGCCAGGCGCTCTTCTCATATTCAAACTACTGCGTATCTCCTTGGTGCACGTAAAGGACTGCCCAATGTCGACGAGGAAGAGATAAATCGCACTCGTGCCGTTCAGTCGTGGTACGAGTCAGAGGCGCCGGAAGGGCAACTGACAAACCAGGAATCTCTTGAGAAAGGTAATTGTTCGTTCGTTTTCAATGGCGATTTCGAATACTCACATCAACTTACTACTAGTCGAATTTCGGATCCCTTTGAACACTGCCGATACAAACAAATCTACGACATACGTCGACCATTTTTACGCCGAGTCAGACCTGAGTCCCCTAGATATGTTCGATTCTATGAGGGCCGCGATGGATCTTCCAAAGACCTACGAGCATTTAGGCTGGCGCTTATCTACAGCCCGCCGTATGGACCTGCCGCATAGACTCTTGACGGCCCAAGATATCAAGAGCGCTTTCAAAGCTGCGAGAGCGGAACAGCTCTCTGGACGGCACAAGAAAAATGTTGCAATTGAAGTCGTAAATACTGTACGTGCCTTGCTAATCATAAGTTTCTCGCACGATATAAAAGTACTTGTTGCAGCAGATGCCTGTATTAAAAGGGACAGCAAAGCAACATGCAGGTACTACGCGTTCTGCAGGCGAGCAGAACCATCTACCCAGTACATCCCAGTTTGACGACCGTGAAGAAGTTCGTATCTCACGTAGTAAGGAAGGAACCGCGTCCCTTCAGCGTGTGCCAACCGAGCTCATATCACCCATAATCCACAATCATGTTCATCTCCCATCTGCGATCAACGACACGTGGGCTTCCGAGTCTAATGGTGTACTTTCTGAACAGCAACGTGACAACTCCACAGCTCCTCGACCCCTCAAGAGGACGTATGCACTCTACTTGGAGAGTGACGAAGACACCGATGATGAAGAACCACCGCAAGGCATCGATGAAGTCCTTGCGAAGATCCATTCTCGCTACCCTGATATGAACTTGCCGCAATACACGAACACGCTGAAGAAGCATGGTATATTTTATCTGCCCACCACAACACATTTTAATAGTAGATTTTATGTAGAAAAGGTTGGTATGTCGGAGGGCGCAGCATTTACATTTCACACTTGTATTTCTAAAACTCACATGAAGGATGGACGTGCGAAGGCGAGAAGGAAGGCGAAAGGGAAATACAGGGCACGAGCTGACGATAAGGAAAATTTTCATGCTCACTAACGGTCTTAAATAATTTAAATATGCATTCTTCGTGTATCTCAGATTATTTTAGAATTTCTAGTAGTACTACTCTGGGCGTTTTATCGGAAGATTCCTGGATTGAAATTCAAAGGAGGAGGACTCCAAACCTTGATAACAATTGCAGTGCCTCCATGCTAGTCCTTGCCATACTAGTTCATCTTTTGATAATCATGGTTGACTGTGCCCTCAGGGTTACAGTGAGAGCTGATTTTCATCCTAGTTCACATTCATTGTACCTGTCATATGGTGGAGCAACAATCCCCAACTTCAACCACCACAGCACCGTGCCAGTGGCAAGCACTTTTCACCAATATGATTTTATGGATGGGAGAGTTGGCAAAGACATCAGTATAATCATGTGTATCTTCCAATGGAATGGCATGATTATGGTCTTTCTCAAGAGCAGCTGGTACATGGTGGAGATGACAAGGTTAACCTCATTGCAGGCAAGCACCTTTCTCCTACGTCCTCGAGTTGAGCATTTATCTCAGTATTGTAGCACGCTAAAAAGTACACCTGAAGCAAGGGGTAATGTTATTACAAGTCTCAAAGGCGGTGTGCTTGATTGATTATCCCCAGGTAGAGCAGCTGGTGCATGGTGGAGATGATGAAGCTAACTTCATTGTAGAGCTGGCAAGTATCTCCCTTCTATGTCCTCAAGTTAAGCGTTTATCTCAGTATTGTAGCACACTAAAAGTTACACCTGAAGCAAGGGCTAATGGTATCAAAAGTCTCAAAGGCGGTGCGCTTGATTGGATTACCCCCAAGTAGCAGAGTCTCGTCCCTGCTCTTGCCCGCAACTTGAAGGTATGTGGCGTGTGATCTATGTTCTACAGATATTCTGCTGTGCGTAAGAACATGCTGTCCAAGTAGAGGAGCCCTCCAATGGAAGAACCTCATAAAGGTGATGTCTTGCTTCATTCTTTCTGACTGGTGTACACTCATAGCATACCACGAAGACTCGGCCAAGGACATCCTCTTCCGCGATTGCATCTCAGACGCCGTGGACCTTATAGTTGGCACTTGCCGACAAAAGCGTACGTATGCCATGGCGAGCTGTCATAGTGAAAACATTTACATATGGGAACAGTAAGTTCTTCTCTCGGGATTAGGTCGTGGGCTGATCATAAGCAGGGATTCTCGAAATCTGTCCCTGCACCCCTAAGTCTGCATAACCCACACGAAACAACACTGACGATTCAATGAAGGCCTCCCCACCACGCTGGTGCCTACACCCACTCCCGCTCCCGTGCTCCCTCCCAGTACAGCTGCAGTCACCGGACTCAACAGCCTCCTGGCTGACATGCCATTCACATTGATCGCTGACATTCTAGAACATTGTGTAGCGAGCCAAGATTGATCTTATTATGTGAGTCACGTATCCAAATTTTCGGTGGTCCATCGATGATCTGATGCACGGGATCTGGGTGCAGAACCCACATTCCCTTGGCACCAGCAATACGTCCTTGCATGGCAACATGTCTTGTGCTACCTCGGCAAAGATGGCGTCATGCACCTCGCTTGTGTCGCTAAGGGGGTCACCATCGAATCTGCGACACCATTATCCCATTGTGAATTTTGCATTATCGCCAAGCACCCGCACAATTTTCACCTGTCCGGATCAGAATGTGCATTTCGCTTTCTCGACCTTGTTCATTCCGACGTCTGTGGTCCAATCCCCACCGTCACTCCTCACAGCAAGCGTTATTTAATCCTCTTCCTGAACGATCACACGCACGCCTTGACACCGAAACCCAGGACTTTGGTTAAGCTCACTTTCAATAGATGATATCTCTGAAAATGGAACCTGAAGACGAAGGGGAAACATAGCCCACCACCACATGCCCAAGCAGCAATGTTGGAATAAACATGAAAGTGTCCATCATCCACTCATTCACCATGACAATCTACTAATTACTTCGTATTCCCAACAGTCTCCTGATCTCATTCAACTCCCGCCAGGAAGTCTCGACATATCTCATAGCGTCCTCCAACTCCTGCTCCCTCCGTAACTGCCATTGAAGTCAGCCAGCACTTGTCTTCGTCCGTAATTGTAATTGGCTCGCGCTGCAATGCAGAACAGTTATTGTGAATTCGGTCTTGAGCCGTTTGTGTCGTATTGTTCCATATCGCCTAAAATCTGTTAGTACTGGAATGGTATCTATAGTAGTAGGTGCCACATATGATCGCCAAGTCACTGATGATTAACGGTCCTGGGACGTTTAACGGTTGTGGGGTGATCAATGGTTGTGGGGCGATCAGCGGTTCTGGGACGATTGGCAACGGTTCTGGGACGATGTGATCCAGTGGTAGTTGCTGGTGGGTGAGTCCGGTACGGTCAGGCAACTTCTACTAGGCAGACCTTCAAGGAAATACTTACCGCTGGCCCTTGTGCTTAAAATTGTACTGATCGTTATGTTGTAGGTTAAAAAAAATGTTCTGATCCATGATATGTAGTAGTACTTGATCTTTACTGGTGCTAGCGCTCGTCGCGGCTGTATAGAGTCTGTATAGTAGTGGCAAATGGAGCTGAGTTAGAATGTTTGCCTTTTTTGGATAAACTTCAAGCGGCCGGCGCCACTCAGACTCACTGACTTTATTTTTTTCAAAATCCAGTAACATGGACTCGCGAGCCACCATCTCCACCAGCGCACAAGTCATAATAGGTCCGTACTTGAGTCCACCTTATTTCTTCCAGCATTCACCTGCATCTCACAGACATGACTTGTTACACCGGTGGCAAGACTGTTTTTAGCGATCACCAAATGTGTGACATTACTAGTACGCCCTCGGAATGCATCGACATGCTATATACTAATTTTGGTAGACCTCAGCCGCAACTTAGCAAGGAAGCATCATCTGTTCTCATTGACCTTGGGGAGGCTGTGCAGTTGAATGCGACCCGTGATGAGGTCGGTGTGCTCATTGATGGTACACTATTGCAAGAGGTCTACGTCAGGAACGCTTGTCTGCAAGCCATCCAGGTCAGTATCATTTTCTTGCAGTTTGCGTCACTTTTGTTCATCGTTTTTGTAGCCATTCGATTTGACTGATCTTGATTGGTCTCCGCAACTTTGGATAGCCTGCCATGACGATGACGAGCAGAATGCCCGTCTCGCTAATCACGTGTGGGAGGATAATGGCTTGGATGTGCCAGAAGACTTCGTTGACAAGCTCATGAGCTATCTCGGTATGTAGTTCATGTTTCTATACTTAAATTCTAATGTGTCTATTAGAGCACATCAATGCGTACGTTCGAACCAGCACGCCATCAGCCATCGCGGAGGCTGTAATTTATTGGCCTCGAAAGAGTGCACTGACCATAGCTGCTCTACAAGACTTCTACCGGGAAAAGGTATGATTCCTCATTCTTCTTTACGTGCTCGGCTCTAATCAGTCTGAAGGCTAAAATTCTTGCACCCGAGTTCGACCAATATGTTAGTGCCATATTAAACTTTCCAGTTATGATCCTCACTTGATGCCCAGGGCATGGTTATTGCTTCTAGCCTCGATCGCTCCGATCCATAGGCTACCCGGGTGGCAGTGGCCCTTGCATTTGAGCACTTGGCTCTGTCATTCACAGAGGACCAGGTTAAACCGTTCTTCATATTCTTGATTAAGGACGAAGCATTGGGTGACAGGTCATCGGACGTGCGCCGCAGAACGCTTCGGGCTGGAACTGCTGTGATCGATATCCATGGCTCAAAGCGGCTTGCGGGGCTACTCTCGACTTTTGAAGAACATCTAGGTGGCCCGAGTGCTGCGAATGAAACTGGGGATCAAATCAAGGAAGCCGTTGTCATTCTGTTTGGACCCGTTGCCAGGCATCTCGACGCTTCGGATACACGCATTCCCAGCATTGTCGACCAACTGGTCGAAGCTCTCAAAACTCCGGCGGAACAAGTTCAAATAGCTGTTTCCGACTGTCTTGTCCCCCTAGTCAAACTCATGGGCCCGGGTGTTCGCACGCTCGTTGATCACTTATTTGAGGAACTTTTCGATGGATCGAAATATGCCAGTCGACGGGGAGCTGCCTATGGTCTTGCAGGTACCATCAAGGGTTTGGGAATAGGCGCCATGAAAGAATATGATGCCACCAACTGCCTCCGGACAGCTCCTGAGGTTTGAAACGCGTCAAGGCGCAATGTTTGCATTTGAAACTTTGTCGAACACGCTTGGCCGACTATTCGAGCCATACATCACAAATATCCTCCCCGTTCTGTTGACCGTATTCGGTGACACAACAGCAGACGTACGCGAGGCTGCTCAGGATGCAGCAAGGGTAATCATGGGTAATATGTCCGGGTATGGCGTTAAGCTCATTCTCCCTTCATTATTGTCTGATTTGGATGAGAAACAGTGGAGATCTAAAAAGGGTTCCATCGAATTGATGGGCATGATGGCTTACTGCTTGCCCCGACAACTATCACTATCACTGCCCATCATCATTCCGCGCCTTACTGGCGTTCTGATGGATACCCATGCTCAGGTCAAAACTGCGGCCAACAAGAGTCTAAAACAGTTTGGAGAAGTGATCAATAACCCTGAGATACAGGCTCTTGTTCCGACGCTACTGAAAGCACTTGTGGATCCTGCGAAGATGACAAACACTTTGTCAGCCCTCCTGAAGACATCATTTATGCACTACATTGATCACTCTTCTCTGGCGCTGGTGAGCTGCTGCTTCAAATTGCTGTTTTCAAAGCTTATATGTCACAGGTCATTCCCATTATCGAGCGTGGATTACGGGAACGAGGGACGGAGGGCAAGAAGAGAGCCACCCAGATTGTTGGCAATCTCGCATCTTGAACAGATTCCAAGGATTTTGTGCCGTACTTGTCTTCGCTCTTACCGTTGGTGCATGTCGTTCTGGTTGATCCCGTGCCAGAAGCACGTGCGACTGCTGCAAAGGTGCTCGGGACGCTCGTTGAACGTCTCGGAGAAGCCCACTTCCCTGACATTGTCCCTGGACTTTTGAGAACCCTCAAGACCGACACCTCTGGTGTTGATCGACAAGGTGCGGCTCAGGGTCTCAGCGAAGTGCTTTCCGGACTTGGCATGGAATGACTTGAAGGCCTTCTCCCTGACATTATTGCAAATGCGCAGTCCCCTCGGAGTACCGTCAGGGAAGGTTTCATGTCTCTCCTCGTATATCTACCAGCTACCTTCGGCGCTCAATCCCAACCACATTTACCGAAAATCATATCCCCCATATTGAGCGGACTGTCTGACACAGAAGAGTACATTCGGGAAGCTGCTATGTGAGCAGGGCGGATGATTGTAACTGATTACTCCACCAAGGCGATTGACTTGCTCCTGCCTGAACTTGAGCAAGGCATGTTCGATGCTGGTTGGCGCATTAGGGTGAGTCCTTTTTTGCAGCATATTTTTACATGACTTTACCACCGGTCGTTAACAATCATCATGTATTCCAGCGAAGAGTTCGAACAGCAAGAGGTAAGTTTACATGGCATGATTAAATATTTCTTCGTTCATCTCTTTCTTCAAGACTGCCAGTCGTACCACGGCAGAGCTAAGCCGCAAGTCTGGCAAGAAGGTTCTGGGCAAAAAATTTTCAATTCTTCATACCAAGTCGCATTCTCCTGATATTTGTACTCGCGAAGATGTTTGCCTTATGCTGTGCAATGTAATGTAAGGACACTTCTTTTCTCCCCTTTCGTAGTGTCTCACGGCATTTAGCGAGAGCACATCCGATGCACAACGTGATGGCCATGAAAACAAAATACTTAACATGGTCCGTGCCTCTCTAGTGGATGACGACGCTAGTGTACGTTCGGCAGCTGCGAAGGCATTCAATGTGCTCCAAGAGCATCTCGGTGTAAGAGCGATTGACCAGACGATCCCTACTTTGTTGGAGGCTTTACGCCAGCCTGGTGCAAGTTCAGACACTGCACTTCAAGCCTTGAGGGAGGTCCTGTCGGTATGTATCGTCCTTTTTGTTTGTGAACAAGGATGTACTCACCCAATTAAAGGTCTGGGCGTCTACTGTGTTCCCTGTTCTCATCCGGCCTTGATTGCCACACCTATGACGGTTTTCAATGCTTAGAGCTTTAGCGTCGCTCGTTACCGTTGCTGGGCATGGCCTTGAGCAAGCGCTCATTGTCATCCTTGGAGCATTAGTGAAGGTTTTGGAAGAGCCCA